GAGAATTATAAACTGGGGAAATTAAAGGTGCGTACCTTTACACATCAGTGATGTTTTGTTCATGTAACTACACATGTACATAGATCTTTCTGTTGTGGAAAGAGGATTTTATTTGTAAACGAGACGATTTCTTTGTACTGCGTAACACGTGATTGTCAGAGAGCTTCAACAGATAAATCGTGATTTATAAACTGTTCTAGGAGAGCGGTCGTCTTGTCCATCAACATAGAAGACGAATAATATTTGTACATAAATAAACCTTCAACAGATTACTATTCTAAACGATGGTTATAGCATGATACAAGAATAAATAAATTAGCGACAATTTCAACGGATGTTGTGTAAAAGGTGTTGCTTTTTGCATTATTTCCTTCGCATTGACAGCGAACTGTCATGAACCGTTGAAGACGAATGCTGGTGACGCCACATTGTTTTACGTGACAACAACAATTCCCAGTGCTATTTTATTCAGTATAAAGAGCTCATTTTGAATGATAATAATACATTTTTGCATGTTAACAGTGCAATTTTACATATATACTGAACCAAATTAAAAACTTAACAATCCTAAAATTTTAACATTTTGACCAGTTTTCATTGTGGGCCATTATTGTGTATTTAAACAGTAATGGCCGCGTATTGTCTTCAGATAACACCCGTTTTGGTGTAGGTGAATCGATCAAAATCATGTACACAGCACTATAGTGGCAAAAGTGTTTTTTTCACGTGCAACTGGTCACGTGGCCATAATACCGCACGTGTTTTCAGCCATACTTGTTAGCAGTCATTAACAAAAACAGAAAAACACAAGAAAACAAAAGTCTTTAGCGCCATTTGTCATGCCACGCCTTTTAAATGTGCAACGTGAACGTGCCATCGGCAGGTTGCAGACGGGAACGTCCGTAGCTGAAGTCGCAAGGACGATGGGTTGTAATCGACGGACTGTTTATGATTTACAGACGCGTCTACAGCAAACGGGTACCACCGCTGATCGCCCTCGTCCAGGTCGACCACGTGTGACGTCACATGCAGAGGATCGTCAGATTGTCTTACGTCACCTCCGTAACCGATTTCTGACGGCTACATCAACCAGAAATGAACTGTTTAGGGGTAGACTGAATGCGGTAACTGTTCGAAACCGTCTGAGAACTGCTCACCTTCAAGCACGACGGCCATACTGCGGGCCGATTCTGACTCAATTACACAGACGTCAACGTCAATTGTGGGCACAGCGACATTTATGATGGACTCAGAAGAAGATGAATCAAGTCGTCTTCAGTGATGAATCCCGATTTTATCTTCGATTTGCTGATGGTAGGGCGAGGGTGTGGAGGCGCCGTCATGAACGTTACGCCCAGTGTTGTGTACAGGAAGTTGACAGATTTCGAGGCGGAAGTGTCATGGTGTGGGGTGCTTTCTGTGGCAATGCACGTTCCAGGCTTCTTGTCATCCGTGGCAACCTCAACGCTACTGCTTACCGCGTCCAGGTACTGGCACCAGAACTTCTGCCTTTTATGGCAGCACATGGATCCAGTTTGATCTTCCAACACGACAATGCCAGACCCCACACAGCAATTTTGACAAGGATTTCCCTTCAGAATGCGGGAGTCAACGTTATGGACTGGCCGTCAAGGTCTCCCGACCTCAATCCCATCGAACACATCTGGGATGCTCTTGGCAGAAGTCTGCGCACTCTCCAGAACCAACCATAGAATTTGAAAGATCTTCGCTCCATTTTGCAGCAACAATGGCGTCGTTTTCCCTATCATGTGTTAACAAGCATCACAAGGTCCATGCGGAGGCGTTGTGTGGCAGTTGTCAACGCACATGGTGGCCATACACGCTACTGAACTTGTGTGCCATCAGATTCTCGTGCTTGGGACTTATGATTTAAACTGTTGATGTTATTACCGAATACCGTATGTCTTGGAACAAATTATGGCTACAACCGTTAATCAAAATCCTTCTTTGGACATTAATGATTAAAAATTACCTTCTCTGATACATGTGTCCGTTATATATCATATATCGGATGATTACTTTTAAAAATGTGACGTAAAATATTTTAGAGCATTAAACATAATTTAAAACTGTTGATCATATATATTGAAAATTGAAAATTGGTTTTGACCACAAACATTATCCTGCAAAGAGTCACCAAAACACTGCAAACTTAAGGTCCAAAGCACAGATATGATACCCGTATCAAATACTTCACCATCGAATAAGCATTTCTTGTTTGTTTCTTGTTTAGCCACCATCAATCGTGGGTGGTGGAATCGACTCGAGGGGAAGATTATATTTGTTTGTTGTTTAACGCCGAACTTTTCCAGCTAAACTCTCGGGCAATAGAAAGTACACACTTGAAAATTGGATTTGACAACAAACTTACAAACGTTATAAAAACGTGACTAGGCTGAAAACAGTCGGCGGAACACTGCATACTTTAGGTCCAAAACATAACAATGATACCCGTATCAAATACATCACTCAATGTCGAATGAGTATTTCTTGTTTGTTTCATTTTTAGCCACCATCAATCACGGTTGAAAACCTCATTTTGCCCGGCAGTTTATGTTAAGAGACCACACTATACACACATACATGATTTGGCAGCTGGATACATCACTGTTCAGGACACAAATACAACTTTCAGGAGTCACCAGCAACCACTGTACACCAGTTAGTATAATTACATCATGAAATAAAAGTAGCTAAATTGACCGCAAAGATAACTATAGTATTATATTTTGTGACGTATCAAAATCCGCCACGAAATACTGCTGCTTAAAAGATAGAACCATGTGGTACCCTTTCTTTTGTGTTGACTGGTAAACGGCTTTTCGAAGGTATTTCTCTTATGATAAGGTTTGGGTAGCTCAGTGGTTAAACGTTCTTTAGTCGCATCAAAGTCCCTTGTTCGAATCCAGTGGTTGAGTAAAGCCTATCTTGGTGTATACGCCGTAATAAACCTTTTCACTTTAAAAAGTGCAGTGACCTGATCACTGTATTTACTTATAGTGGCAGCTCAGATTTATATAGGAATATAATTCTAAAAGCGATGTCTCGTCCTCTCTATATACAAGGAGCGTACCTACACGTTCACTAACTATAGTTTATGTATATTTGTTGTGCAATCAACAACCTTCAGCTTTATAAATAAATACGAGTCTGGACCACAGAATTCAGTGAGTGAAAGTGTGATCACCGCCCACAGCTGTCGAAGTACGATTACATGCATTAAACCAAGTCATCGAGCCCGACCACCCAGTCTGTTAAGTCGCCCCTTACGACAAGCACAGGTTACTGGGGAATCAGGAATCCCCTAAAGGATGTGTTCATGTCAGACTTACCCGGTCCTTCGCTTGTTTCATCACGGTCACGGAAAGTAAATGCTTTCCAATTCTCCGGAAACGAAATGGAAATTTGGTAACACGTTTATACATGGTTTCCGTGATAAGAAACTTTCAGCGAGTTTCCAGTTGACGGTATGCCTGGAATTCTCAGTTAATTTGGGTTTGGGGTTTCTAAAAAATATCACTGCAGGTATGAAACGCTTATGTAAAAGTTATGCAACCATCTCAACTTACAAACATTCATATATGATTATCCTTGAACGGTGAGTTTCAATCCAGTGTGGTCAGGTGGATGGAGCGTCTGTCCAGAGAACGAAAGGTCGGCTCTGAGTCAGTATACTGAGCCTGAGTGGAGTATCCATGTGAAATTACCATCTTAAATGTTTCACTAAAGTTTTATTTTCATTTGTTTCCAACGATAGGGACAGAGATAAATCATTAGTATAGCTTTATTCTCACGAGTGAGTGAGTGAATAAGTTTCTTTTAACTCCGCTTTGAACTGTTCTCACGTTTTTTCCCAATCCCATTTTAACTTCTTTAAAATACTACTATAGCTTGACAACAGTATAATCATCTATACCGAAACGTAGCTATAATAATTATTATAGTTAATATTAAAGAATTTGTTATACTTAAATTTTGTCTATTTTGTCTTCCATCAACTTAAAAAAATATGCCCATCCAACAGTGAGTGGGTATGGTTTTACGCCGCTATTGGCAACATTCCAGTAATATCACGGCGTGGGACACCAGAAATGGGCTTCACACTTTGTACCTATTTGGGGAATCGAACCCGGGTCTTCGGCGCGACGAGTTAATGCTTTCACCACTACGTTTACCGGCCTCTCCATCTTCATCCGCGATTATCACGTGAGCTACATTACAAGTAGAATGTACGTAGAATATAAGGTCCCTTATCTCATGGTTTGTCACATTTTTAGAATTTGGCAAAACATTATTTTGTTGAAACCTTTTGAAAACAGAACACTTTATACACTACATACCAAAAGCCTTTTACTTTATTTCGCCAAAACACTTCTGCATACTCTGTATTAATATTGTATAATTTGTCTTTGTGTGGTGTGTTCTCTCCTGCTGATGCGCGTGCGCCGAGTTTGCACGGTTTCAGAGCGATTATAGACAATATGGGGCTCTTCTGTGCGCTACTGGCACTTTAGTCATTTGCTGCCACTGACAATCTATACAATTAAACTTATAATAGTCTCTACTGCCTCATAACAATATTACAATAAATGTGGACCGCCTCAAGACTGTGGTCTAGTAGTAGAGCGTCCGCCCGGAGAGCGGAAGGTCCGGGGTTGGATCCCCGGCCGCGTCATACCAGAAGACGTCAAAAGATGGTACTTGTTGTTACCCTGTCTGACGCTCGGCATTAGGGGGCTAAAACAAGGACTGGTCGGCTCGGAGTCAGTATACTGTGTCTGAGTGGGGTATTCATATTAAACTGCGGTACATCTCAGTGTACTAGCACTACAAATCGGCATCAGTCCGGACTAGCTATAGTACAAGAAGCCACACAGACACACACACGTGCATGCACGTCGCTATATAAGAGCAATAATCGTGGACGCAATGTTAAACCCCATTTCATCTCAACTACAATAGAAATCACAACAAAGACATTGTTTTATCCAAGGATTTATTTCAAAGCAGCCTCAGCAACCCATGTCGGACAACTTGAAGTCCTTGTAGTAAGTGTAGGTGTCCTTTGGCGTCGCCCAACTTGAACTTCCTCCGCCGAAGAAGGTGGAGAAGAAGATTCCTTCAACCTTAATGTTATTAGAGTTCCGGAAGACCAAATTCTTAACCTGCAATACCTTATTTTTGTTAAACCTGACCGTCAAAACCCCATTTTTTGAACCAACCGAGTTCAGCTTCACTTTCTGCCTGATACTCTGCCATTGCCCTGTCTTAAACACCCATGTTCTACCAATATCATGTCCATAATCATAATTACAATGGACTTCGTTTCTGTCGCAGAAACCGCAATTCTGATTGTCAGGAATGTAGGCGTACACGACACCATCACCCCCCGAGCGCCACATGTATCGAGTGGAGAAACATTCGTCTGCGTTTCTTCCCCCAGAACACTCCTGGCTCCCTCCCCAAAGACCAGGCAGCTTACCTCCCTCTACGAAATCGAAATTTTCCGCGAAGTAGATCTTGTAGTCCAAGATAAGACAGGTTCGAGGAGAGGTGGGTCGGGCGTAAAACTGAGCTCCCCTGTAATCTCCGGATCCGGAATAGGAACCATTCTTGTAGAAGACTCTCAAGACTTTCTTCGAGGAACTACCATCGGGATCGTTAACGACGGCCATCGACTCATTCCCAAAGTCATGGTCACCGTCCAAGTTCCAGTCATCCAAGAAACTAGAATTTTCGAATCTGTTTTGCTTCCACAAAGGTGTACTCGTAACTAAAACGAAAAACGTGAAACCATTTCATATGCACAAGCATATATCGTTCATGTGTGAACTATTTCGTTTTGGTCTTTTTCCATCATGACCAATAACCCTTACAAAGAAGTCTTAAGGAAACGTTCAATGTAATGACAATTTTCACGGACAGTACATTAAGCCAACTGTATTTATGAATATTTACTATGAAAATGTGTTTTCCCTTAATTGTTGGAGACAACACAACAGTTTCTACTGGCCATGCTGGATGTCTTGCAAAAAATATGTGTCGCGGTTCCCCAAACCATTGGTTGGCTCTTTTGACAGTAAATAACTTTATGTCTTGAAGCAGTGAGTACAGAAATATTACCTCCAAAGAATTTTCAAAATGCTCAGAAAGAATTAACTATCAAGACCAGAATATTTAAGTCGTTGCTTGAAACATACAAAATAACATTCTGATATCGTCTGATAGGAACAGTCAAACGATATTATATTTTAAACATCCAGTGAATACCTTTTACAGTAAATTTTTTTATCTGAGGCAAAAATATCCTTTTCCTTGTACTGAAACAACTGTCCCAACCCCAAGGTAAAATGTTAGTCCTCTACCATCATAGAGTATCAAACTAGTAAGATCGTAAAATAAAATACAACCTCACCCGTTGAACTTCTTATGTCCCCCGTTGTGATATTGCTGAAATATTGTTAAAAGCGGCGTAAAACCACATTCACTCACTTACCTGTAGAAAGACATAACAACAGCAGAGACCACGCGTACCACATGGCGTATCTGAAATCGAAACAATTTAAATCAACAGTTGAAATTAAGTTTTAGGGGCGCATAGCAAACAATATATTTGTTGGATCTTGTATCCATGTATGTTCGTCGGGATTCCCAAAATGGTCGTAAGAGTCGACTAAAATGGATCAGATGACTTCACTATTGTGTGATAAGAAATGTTAGCATGCTCCCTGACAGTGGTTTGCCTGGTCCTGCCTCAATTATGTACAGGCTGATGTGATATAGCTGGACTATTGAACAGTAGTTCAACAATATTCATTTAGTCATTCAAGATCAAGATTTGTATTAGCATAAAAGGTGTCCGGCCAATATACATGAAGTTAAAAGGTCAATGATAAGCATGTTCACGCATGCATAATGATAATGCAATTTCAATAAACATATTAGTGTATTAAAATACTCATTGCTTGTTTCCTTAATTCGAATGCATTTCGTTAAGAATAACGCTAAATTGGTGCAACTGAGAGGTTACAAGTAATTATCAAGTAATAATTCATTATTGTTAACACAAAAATATATTTCAATATAAATTTTCCATAAAACAGTATATTCTTTACACACAAAAGAATATGACACTAATCATCATCTCACGGACTTGCATAATGGAAGTAACTGTTTAGGAATGGGTTAAGACGTTAATAATCCTAGTAGTGCTTTGTTACATTTTACGACTTAAGTTAATATGATTTTTGCAAATTAAATTATGACAAAAAGTAACTCCAAGGTATTTATACTCATTACAAAAGTAACAGAAAAGCCTTTATATGACCATGTTTCAATTTTAGATACACGACCACCGCTTCTTAATACAACAATATTAATTTTATCCAAATTAACATTTAACTTCCATTCATCGGAATATATTTCCAAAATGTTTAACTGGAGATCAACTGTAGTATTTGCCACAACTATAACATCTTCTGCAAACAAAAGCATTAATATTTGCAGTATGTCAGGATATAACTGAACACCATAATGTTTCAATATCTGCATCTTTCGAAAGACAACTCATTGATTAAAACACAAAACAACAATGGGCTTAAGACACAACCTTGCTTTACGCCTATATATTCATTTAATTTTCCATTGCAACGCACGCATCCTTGTTATTTAGCAATTCCCAACATTATCCACTATGGTACATGGAGTATGGAATATATAAATGCACGCATTGCGGATAATTGGACCATATTTTAAGCGAACTTACCTTCACGACTCCTGCTTGCAATACCTCAATGAACACACATGGACGCACAAGCCTTCAAATAACGTCAAAGTTGCGATTAAAATATAAGAACGTGTTACACACTATTCAATATTTGACTATGCAACACGTGGTGGAAAAGTAATGAAAAATGAAAGCTTTCATAGATTATACAATCTAAAAAACAGATTGGGGGATGAACAAATAACTGAAACAGCTGTGCGTTTTTTAACAGTAATCAAATCATTAAACAGCTGTGATTTAGTTCTACACGAAAAAGGTCTTAGGGTCAAGGTATCTATCTAAATTATTGTTAAATTGAAACAACTCGGAATAAAATGCCTCTTTTTCCCCATGTTTTTTCTTCTAAAGTAACATCTATTCCACACTCTAACTGTCCACTCTGTCAGGTGTATGAACCCTTCCTTAGATCTTTTGTACAGTCTACAATGACCAGATTGGTTGTGACCAATAACATTATGTAATTATTTGTCAACATAATCCCCAACGAGGTCCACGCTTTCGAGGCCCAACTTCCAGGAGTGCCCGGATCCTCTTGGTGGCGTAAAACATCCAGCTGAAATGACGTCATCATTTGCATAATGCTTGCGAGACAGTTCTTTCTTCAAGTTGCGGTTAGATAGGAATCTGACATACCAAATCTGGTGGGTACGGGTCACCAAAAATATGACAATCTCTTGGGGAAGGTCATAAAAAAGATAACACATATTTGGGAAGGGTCTTGAAAAAATGGACTTTTAAAAAAAAAAGAGTTCTTTTGCAATGATGACCGGTCCCCCCTTGCCGTTGGAGATATTTATGAGAGCCAGATAGCCAATTATGTCCATTTCATTAACAAGGAATACCTGCATGTAGTGGTTTTGATGCCTACAGAAATATGTTGCCTGGTTGTGTATTTGGTTAATACTTAAATGCAAACTATGCATCCGTCGTAGTCAGTCACCCCTCGTAAGTTACACCAAATATGTTGGAAATGCAGCGTAAGCCACGATCACTTTTATTCCACATTAAAAGAACCTAGCTTGGCAACACTTGAGTGATTGAGCTTGGTTAAATACCGTTTTGAACACTATTTCATTTCTATCCCGGCATGTCAGGGGAAAGCCCGAAGTAACACGGGTTTTAGACGTTTTAGACGTAAAATCAAGGATCACAGGATGTGGTGCTGGCAAACCTAGAAAACGTATCAGGTTGAACAGGGATTCAAACCCACGATGATTGGTTTCTGCCATTCATTGGGACTCAACTCTGCACAGTGACTTACGTGCGGTCAAGACGACTTTGCCACCGCGTACACCCATATTTATGACGCTATTCTGAATATGATAAGGCCAACGTGGATCTTTTAAATCCGTATTTTGATTGGAATCATATTGAAATCTCTGTCTCAAAAACAGAAACAGAGGTTAATCAAATTGGAAGCTTTATATAATAAAAACAGATGCGCTCACGAGTACAAGAAACATCATGACCACAACTGTAAACATACCATGAATTTGTCTCGACCTGACTAACTGATAGCTAACATGAAATGTGAGTACATTTTTTAATACATGTAGAGATGGACAGCTGGGGCATGTCTCTATCGTAAAGGAAATCGAATCATGACAGTTTGTGTTGGACACAGCTGCACAACAAAATCCAGCCATCGCAGTCATTGGTTGATGTCAACAGTGTGATGGTGGAGAGACGTTTATCGGCGTTTAGGTTGCAGCTGTTTTGGTTTTCAGCATCCACGTGTACAAGTAATAGTCTTTAATCAAATCCAGATCTATATTTCAAGTTGTTTATTTCTCATATAATTAACCAATGGCCAAAAATGATAGTAGATTCCTTACCAAGTCAAGTATATCTGAATATATCAGTTGTTGATGTCTTATTATAATTCAGAGCTGTTTGTAAATTGTACATTCTTTATTTCAAGCAGTTACTCATATTTCGTTGGATATATTAATAAATAACTAGGAATGATAAACTTTTCGTAGTTCTGTATATTGTCGACAGTCACACAAGGAATGATGTTTATCTTCAACTGCGAAAGTGAATGCATTTCAATCAGCAATGGCATTTCTCATTATAACGAGGCTGTTAAATGTTCAGCTGATGCTTAGACATTGTAATCTACACAGACTGTGTACGTTATAGAGTATTTTTTCTGGTCTTTCGCGATGTTGCATATATATTCCATCTTTACATTAAATGACATCTACATCTATTTATAAAATCGTGTGTATTGAGAATCACGTTTGTCGTAGCAATAAACAACCGTGAGATACCGAGTTTTTGCTACCATTTACAGGTCTTTGGATAACGATGCTAGTAAGACCGTTTAATATTATGAGATTGGGGATGGCGGTGTGATGTGGTGTGTGTGATGTGTGATAGGTTTTTCTTTTAAGCACTTCAAGACGTGCAATTATTACCCCCTAAAAGGCAACCTTATTTTAACAACACGCATCATGTCCAGTGAACGATGTGTCGAGGTCAATCTGATTGTAAATATGCAATATATTCCAGCTAACCTCAACTATTCTCTGTAACCTCAACTAAAGAAATCATATAACAAATATTAAAGATTCAATTTGTAGCACCTAAGATTAAATATACATTCTCTAAGTAAGACATTTGTCACCTTGACAGGGACATTTTAATATCGGATTCAATATATGTATTTCACATGATATATTAAAGAGAATATGCCAAAAATATCTGTCTTAACTATCGTAAATTCGAAAAATCCTAGCATGGAAAACACGTAGTAAAACATACCTGTTTTGTTATTATATTCTACAGTAATAAACAAATCACTATAATAACATCTATCCGACACCCCAACTGTCAGTACCAGGATCAAGCCACTGATAAAGTTGCTTTTTAGCCACGCGCGCACGAACGCACAAGACTATGATACATGTTTTTCACCATGAAGACGTTTTTCTTTTTCAAAATATGCACTCGTATTCACGCACAACGGTCGTGTTTAGGCAACAACTCAAGCGATAATTCATTTGTCTAGTGGTTAGTGTCTCATTGGCTATTGGTCACGTGGGCACTTCCATGACATAAAACAATATGACAAAACTGTAAACAATAACATGATCAAGATACAACTTACAACCACAGCTATGTCGCCAGACTAAATGTCCACGAGAACCTTTCAAAGTTAAACCATTAACATGCCACAAACTACCTACATTATAATGTCATAAGCATGTTCAAATGAAACCGGATTAACATGTTCGTGATTGGCGGAGTTATGACAAACTCAATGTGTCAATGTGCCATTTCGCAGCAAACGCTTTAAACTGTCAAGACTGTATAACAGTTGCTACATTAAAGAGAAGACAGATATGTTCTCAAGTGTCAAGTCTCGGCGTTCTGGCATTTCCCTTGACACGCGGAATGTACAACTTTTTTACCTGACCACGAAACCAACCTTTGTGCTCATGGCAATTAGCCTTCTTTCAGAGCTCAAGGGTGTATGCATGGTGCAAGTCCTTCTTTAGTTGATGGTTGGAGGTTTATGTGATAATCTTTTGTCCTGTGGAACACGATATTTCTCAATGCGCTGTGAACGGTTGTTGGGAACACACGATTCAATGGTCATTGTTATGTTCTACCTTCACGCTTGATGTTTGGTCACTGACAGTATCAACTTTAAGGACACCGGTTTATCACACAGACACAGTGTTACTTTGTGGATCTTTTTCCAATATGTCCATGACAATGGAGCCAGAAAAGCCCTACTATGAGCCAACAATCAGGCTGTGTTTCAAAGCCACCATGTATGCCCGCGTGGCCGTGGGTGTTCTTGGCGTGGCCATTTTATGCCATCTGGTCAGTACAGGGTCATCGTACTGGATAGCCGGGGAGATCGGTGGTCAGGTGGTGTGGCACGAAGGTCTGTGGCAGAGCTGCTACATCAAGCCGTTGGACACGTGGGTGTGTGTGTCGTATGTGCTTGACCATCATATCAACACTGTACCAGGTACGCTACACTTAAGATCACTCATTTATTCTGATCCTTAGTTATATAACGAGTATTATTCAAAGAACATGGGTGAGTGTGAGTGAGTTGGGTTTAACGCCGCTTTTAACATTATTCCAGTTATATCACGGCGTGTCAGCTTAATGTGGGAGGAAAGCCCCATTTGATGCAGGTTTCAAACGTTTACCACGAGCAAGGGTATGGTGCTGACAAACCAAGAAACATAATTTGGGCAAACCGGGACTCGAACCAACAATCATAGGTTTCTAGCGTGCCCAAGGGATGCAACTCCGCACAACGAATGGCGACGCCTTAGACAACTGGGCCACCCGTGCCCCCTCAAAGAACATGATATGGTAAGAGCCCTTTGTTGGCCCGTGGGATCTGCATACTGTAAGAAATGATCAAGTGGTAAGTAACGTTATCTGTTTATATGAATGACGGTTTTCTGATATTTAACCTGAGCAAGGCTATGATCCAAGCTTATTTTCTGTGGAGAAAATTGACAGAATTAGCATATTTTAAAAACATCATCTTGTGTCACGTACTTGTTCATAGCTAGATTTGTTCTTGTCCCTTTTCGCTTATTATAGACGTACTTCTGTCTTGTAATATCAAAAGCCCAAAACTTGCCAGCGTAAGAAGGAGAAGTCATATGAACATGTTCCATAATTGAAATAACATCCTTTCTCCTGCAACTTTAAAAGGACGAGGTACGCTTACGGCAACAGGAAATGTCAAGTTTTGAAGTCGCGGAAAACACTGAAATATTGGCATGAAATATAGCTTACGTGTTAAAATGGCAGACAACTAGCCTTACATATCTATGGCTAGACTAAGTGAAAAGGGCAGAGAAATAATATAAGTATGAGCAAGTTCGTGAACCAAGAGTAATTTCTCCATGTTTATATTGTTTGCACAATCAAAATCAAATGTGTCAAATACTTGCTCATGTTCAAATATGAGAAAAGCGCTAACTGAAAACCCATAAAATCAGCCGTTTTCACACATTTTAGCCTTACCTATCAGTGTTGTTATAAGTCGAAAACATGCACTACCTAACATAATAAACAAAAGTCTACTTCTCACACATAAGAAGACATTTCATCACTTTCATAAAAGCATGTAAAGGTTTTCACTTTTCTCAGATCATGCATATCTCGTGGGTCTAAAACGGGACCTTATCATATCTTGTCCTTTCACAATTCAAGTACCCCTCATTATAATGGATTTATATGATTATGATTCAGATATGAAAATGTGCATGTGTATTTGTATGATTGTATTATATATGTGTGAATCATAAACCGTTTACTACAAGGTACTGCATACCTTCATGTAAATTATCGAAAAAAATAACGAATGTCATTTCAAATCGAATAGTGAACATTAAATAGTGTAACCATGTGATTCACTGCATATATCGTTTTGATATTTCCCCATGCCCGCATTGTCACCGGTACTTACAGCTTTGCTGCTTCTTATCACAGTGATGTTGATGTATTTGGGAGTTTTCTTTAACGATAGTGTATGCATGTGATCATCTTTGTCCCAATGCAGTGATTGATATCATGAGCATCGGAATCAATGACATGCATCAACCAAGTAAACTAGCCTGACCACCCGATCCCGTTAGTCGCCTATTACGACAAGCATAGTCGCCTTTTACGGTAAGCATGGGTTGCTGAAGTCCTATTCTACCCCGGAATCTTCACGGGTCCCCTACTGAGCGATATGGCCGCTATATGTGAAACTGAGACATCGTATCGTTGGGATAATGATTTAATAGTCTGATCTTAGTTCCCCTTTAAGTAAAGATAGCAGAATCTCTTCTGATATAATTGAGTATATACTGAATCGCAAAAGAAACGTCACCATGGATAGCTATATAAGAAACCTTATTTGTCCAAACACTGTGAATATACTTTAAAAGATGAAACTTGGGAAAACTGATCATCAAGGTTGAAATTAAAGTGTCAAATGTTCTTAAAGTGAAACACAACACTAGTCTCTGAGACAATGGCATCACAAGTCAGTATATCGTGTGTCCGCCATGTGCATTGATGACTACCGTGCAACGTCGATACATGGAATGGATGAGGCGGTTGATGAAGCCCATAGGCACTCTTGACGCAGTTCATCTGTAGTTGTCGGCCTTGGTCGGACGTCATTCAGCCGTCTTTGAATCTCGTCCAACAGGTGGAAGTCTCTTGTTGCTCTCCCAATGTGGGCACGGGCGTTATCATGCTGAAACTCGTGGTTGCGGCGACGTGCCAAATGAGGTATGGCGTGTGGTCTCAAGACTTGAACAATGTACCGAGCTGCTGTGACACCATTGTCTCTCCCTGGACCGATGTTCTTGAAGACCACAAGGCTGACCCTCTGTGCAAGACCAATTCCACCCCAAGCATGATGCTCGGATCACCTCACGAGTCTCTTTCAACAACACAAGCATCCGAATAACGTTCTCCACGGCGTCTCCAGACTTGCTCTCTGCCATCTGCTGTTGAGATCAAGTAACGGCTCTCGTCTGAGAAGACTCCTCCACTGCTGGTGGCGCCAATGCTGGTGCTGTGTTGCCCACTGAAGACGGCCCCGGTGATGGTGGTGTCAGAATGGGTCCTCGGTGTGGCCTGTGACAATGAAGGTGTCTGTTCGTCAATCGTCGACGGACGGTGTCCGCACCAATGTGTCGCTGGTGTATCCCCATGGTCTGTTTCCGCAGCAGTAACAAAGCGATCTTGAAGATGCTGTCGCACAATCTTACGATCCTGACGTCGGGTGGTGACCCTTGGTCTTCCACTAAGTGTTCGGTCATCTGTAGTATTGGTGGTCTGGTACCGTTGCTGGAGCCTGTATATGGTCCTTACGTGGACTTGAAATGCATTGGCTACTAGCCGGGCGCTTTGTCCAGCTTGCAATCGTCCAAGGGCTTGGTGTCGCTGATTTCTTGTCAATCTTGGCATGTGGTAGCAATTCAATAACGAATGAATGTTATCCGATCTGGGTGGATTTCTATAGAACAAAGAGAAGGGGGAACGCATGTGCATTTCAATTTGCACAGAACTCACGTGCATCGGGTTACCATGTCCATTGCCGTGATGAATTTGGGCGATCGGTTTTATTGTCATCTGCTTTATTTTTAATCATCAAATTTCTTTTTTTCCAGACAAAGTAATGTTACATTTTACCTTTGACAAAAATTACCCAGATATTTAAATGACAACTTTTCATGCAATGTTACTTGGGGTGACGTTTCTTTTGCGGTTCAGTATATTATCTGAGAAAACAGTTAAGAGGTAAGCGTCACGCCATATTTTCATATTTCCTGAACGTCCTCGTATATATCATTTTTATAAATGTCTGTGATATTTCCGACGCTGTAAAATAATAAATTAGATGTAAAGATCCGCGTGACGGACCAATGGAAGGCAAGTAAAAACACATGGTACACTTGAAAAAAACATGTAATAAAATACCAGTAGTTATTCCGGTTTGTGTAAATTAATTTGAGTATGTGGCATTAACACAGTGGATTTCGTCAGAAAATTAATACAGCAAATATATAATAATTATGAATAAAATGGCTCTTTTGTGTGGAAATAAATAGTTATTGATGCATAACTTTTTTTGTTGGTGTATATGAATAACAAGTTGTTCGTTGGAGCAGGTGTGATAAATTGAGTTCAGGGAGTTGACAAACTTACGACATGCCGCACTGAGTGTTCCGACAGGTAGATTTCCTCTCCGCATTCCGCGATGACACATGTTCTTTTTCATCAAGCTTTATCAAAAACTTGACATTAAGCATTGTGTTTATGACTGAATAAACTGTTCATTGTCCATATAAACATCCATGTAAACCTCACCACTCACTAACTCACTCACTCATATGTGTATATTATTAAATTGTACAATGATTAACAGGGACTTTGCTAAAGATATATACATATACCCCTCGAGTTGCCGGGTGAAGATCAGGGGTTGTGAAGTACCCTTCGAGTTGCCGGGTGAAGATCAGAGGTTGTGAAGTACCCTTCGAGTGGCCGGGTGAAGATCAGGGGTTGTGAAGTACCCCTCCAGTTGCCGTGTGAAGATCAGAAGTTGTGAAGTACCCCTCCAGTTGCCGTGTAAAGATCAAAGGGTGTGAAGTACCCCTTCGAGTTGCCGGGTGAAGATCAGGGGTTTTGAAGTACCCCTCGAGTTGCCGTGTGAAGATCAGGGGTTGTGAAGTACCCTTCGAGTTACCGGGTGAAGATCAGGGGTTTTGAAGTACCCCTCGAGTTGCCGGGTGAAGATCAGGGGTTTTGAAGTACCCCTCGAGTTGCCGTGTGAAGATCAGGGGTTGTGAAGTACCCTTCGAGTTACCGTGTGAAGATCAGGGGTTGTGAAGTACCCCTTCGAGTTGCCGTGTGAAGATCAAGGGTTGTGAAGTACCCTTCGAGTTACCGTGTGAAGATCAGGGGTTGTGAAGTACCCCTTCGAGTTGCCGTGTGAAGATCAGGGGTTGTGAAGTACCCTTCGAGTTACCGTGTGAAGATCAGGGGTTGTGAAGTACCCCTTCGAGTTGCCGTGTGAAGATCAGGGGTTGTGAAGTACCCTTCGAGTTACCGTGTGAAGATCAGGGGTTGTGAAGTACCCCTTCGAGTTGCCGGTTGAAGATCAGAGGTTGTGAAGTACCCCTCCAGTTGCCGGGTGAAGATCAGAGGTTGTGAAGTACTTGTTGGTCTGACGTGTGAAGACCAATGGTTGTGAAGGTGCCCCATCGAGTTGCGATGTGAAGATCAATGGTACCCCTCGAGTGAAGTACCCTTCGAGTTGCGGTGTGAAGATCAATGGTCGTGAAGTACTTGTTGATCTCACGTGTGAAGATCAATGGTTGTGGAGTGCCTTCGAGTTGCCGTGTGAAGATCAAGGGTCGTGAAGTACTTGTTGATCTGACGTGTGAAGACCAATGGTTGTGAAGTGCCCCACGAGTTGCCGTGTGAAGATCAAGGGTCGTGAAGTACACATCGAGTTGCCGTATGACGTGTGACAATCAAGTGGCTATGGATTACTTTCGGGCTGTCTCTGAATCTGCTTTACTTTGTTTTCACATTTGGAGAAATTTCAACAAAGGAAATGTTTGATCAACGTTATATCACAACTACCCTGGGGGTGCATATTACTTTTAAACGTCAGCTGTCTTATCTCGCGTTTGACACAAGTAGACAATTTAAATCTGCCTCCGGAGATGACACTACCTGCCGGCGAGAAGCCTGCCATGTGTTGTATTCAAGTACAGCTAACACGATAGCAGGACAACATACACGTTTAGATGCAACTCAACCTGTCAGGGATTTCTGTGGTCTTGGGAACTGAACGTGACTATGTGAGGCCAATAGTTTATGAGCCAATCCCACCATGTTTCGAAGGTTGGCTTGTTGGCGAGTTCTAATCCCAGATTATGATCCTTGGTTTTTCAGCACCATATCCGTGAACTGGGGTTTCACCAAAGTTGAAGACCTCTAAAACCATATCATTTTTCGCCAACAACAAGCTGACACACAATGATATAACTGTTCAAAGCGGCGTAAAACACCACTCACTCATTTAGCATGGGGATAAATCAGGATACGAATTGTTGTAGCAGGGTGGGTTTCCGTATAGGGAGTCGAATGTTTCAGAGTGACAAACCAATGCCTTACCCCATCGCCCAGTGACAAATATAAAATGAGAGCGTGTGTATTTGGATATTGTACTTGCATTGTATATATGTGAGCGAATATGGATTTACGCCGCTTTTAGCAATAGTCCAGCAAAATTCCAGCTGGGGACACCCGAAATGGGCTTCACACGCTGTACCCATGTGGGGAATCTGAACTGGGCCTGCAGCGTGACGAGCGAACGTTTTACCCACTCGGATACCCCGTCGACACGTGTATATGTTCTATGCCAGTAACGTCTGATCATAATCTAGCATAGGTATGTTTGAGAGTAATGGATGTTTCAAGTGTAGACCTTCTGTGTTGCAGGTTGGTTCAAGGCCTCCCAGACCATGGCGATATTGGCGATAGTGTCATCCGTCCCCGCGGCCATGACGATGTTGCTGTACACGTTGCTGCCGACACTAGGGGGGAGGAAGGTCGCCTCTGTCCTCTCCGTCGTTCTCTGTATAACGTCAGGTAAAGTCCATAATACCGTGTACCGCCAGTTGTTAATGTTGTGAGGGTTGTAAGGTGGCCAAGTGGTTACGGCGTTGCTCGTCACGCTGAAGACCCGGGTTCGATTCCTCAACATGGGTACAATGTGTGAAGGCCATTTCTGGTGACCCGCCGCCATGATATGGCTGGATTATTGTTAAATGCGGCCTAAGACCATGTTCGATTGATGAAGTTGTATGGCATTATAACGAGAACAGCATTTTAAGGCGGTTACATTGCGGTGGAAGTTATTACCAAACCTGAAACTGACATTGAAACAAGGCATACTATACGAGGAAGCACACTTGGCTTTTTTATGGGTAGATTAAGAGTAGTTATAATACAATGAATATTGTTTCTACATTTTCATTGTGCGGTGTGTACAAGTGTATTTGTCTTTATTTAGTCATACAAACTGTTTTCACCACGTGTTTGTTGAATACGTTTATATGTAAGTAGATAGTACATGAACACGGATATGATTTGTTTATAATCGATTCTAAAATTATTTGACAAAAAGCGAGATCGAGTATAAGAACACATTAAATAAATGTTGACCTAACAGTATAGGGCAAAACGTCAGACGTGTTTAGGCTTGCTGGAAATTTCGTGCTCAAGTTCACAGGTCTTGTGTTTTGTCGGTCGTATAAGCGGCTTCATAATGGACAACATTTACAACAATATTCAATCGTTAAAAGTCCTCTTTTTCACTTAGAACAAAGACTTAAAGTCATTTTAAGTAGCCTGTTGTATATTTGTGCTAGGTGTGGGTTCGAGCCTCTGATTCACTCGAATATCAGCCTTTATCTGTCAGCGCCACACCTGTGACATACGGTGGCCCATAAGGGACATGGAGTCTGTTTTTCAATATTTTGATATTTCACTTACTTTCAACGTAACCTTTTGCAAATTAATACATTTTGTCAAATATGTATAAAAACAATCGAAAACATGCAAAATGTACTTTCAAGTATCTATTGAATCGCTGAAATGTGAAGTGAAAATGTCAAAAACTAAAATGAAAATGTCAAAAACAAAAGCGAAAATGTCAAAAACTAAAATGAAAATATTATCACCATGGTGGAAATAGTTTTCACCGCGGTAGAAATATTATCACCGCGGTGGAAATAGTTTTCTGCATTTTCATTTTCGTTTTTGACATTTTCGCTTTTGTTTTTGACATTTTCGTTTTTGTTTTTGACATTTTCATTTTAGTTTTGACCTTTTCGTTTTTGTTTTTGACATTTTCATTTTAGTTTTTGACATTTTCGCTTCACTTTTCAACGATTCAATAGCTTCTTTATACAATATTTATCACATATTTGTATGACAAATCGTGTTAATTTGCAAAAGGTTACGATAACAGTAAGTGAATTATCAAAATATTGAAAAACAGACTCCATGTCCCTTATGGGCCACCGTAGTGACAAGCCTTGGTCACATTCTGGGCATATCTCCAGCATCCTGCTGACACTGATTTATCTTCCAAAACTGGTTCCCACTGGAGATATCGCTTGGGTGAGATCCACACACCGCCGCGGTGCTGACTTAGCGTAAGACCACTGCCACAGGCTAATTTGCATTTCACGGAACGGACTAATGCAAGTATTTGGGGTCGCTTTACATATTATTTTGCATAATTATATAGATAGGGTACCACAACTGCGACAGCTTTATAGTAGATATCGCTTTTATAAATCACTGATTTTTTTTCACATATTTCGATTTAAGAAAGATATTTGATGATAATTAAAATCTCTATTTACAGACTCGTGTTGGTATATTTGGTAGCAAAAGACACTCGGGTCAGATTCTCTACATGCACTGTTCAAAGTGACGTTAAACCAACGTCATACACTCAGATATGTGTTCTATCTGTTTTTGCAGGTGTGTTCGTATTGACTGCCGTCATTGTGTTCGCCACTCTCTACCCCCTCCTTCCCGACCACGCCACACAAGACGTCCATTTTCATTGGTCATTCGGCGTTGATATCACAGCCGCCATCTTGTTCTTCATCCCCCCCGCACTACTCATCGTGGACATGCGCAAATCATTGCTGTGGATCGTCTAAATTATTTCATTGATGAACTTGTTCCATACATATATCAATAAACCATCTCTCATCTTAATATCAAGTCATTGTTTTGTTTTTGTTTTTTATTTTTACATTTCACAGCTGTAAACAAACATGTTTTTGTTAAATATTCAACCTAGAAATTCATAAGGAAGAGAATTTATGGATGCCAACTTCTTTCTTTAATATGAGGAACACAACGTCATCAGATGAAGGAGTAAGTATATACTCCGAAATTGTTGTGTTCTTCATAATAAAGACGTTGACAATCCATAAATTCTCTTGAAATTGCCTTTCAAAGTCTAGAAAATCATGTGTTTACCTTTGCAATACCGAATAATCTGCACTTCATATACGTCTGGTGCCGGTTGTCAGTTCTGTCAAATTGTACTTAATTGGTGTTTTGACAAAAGGACGTTTTACTATAAGCTGGATTCTCAGCGGCATGGGCTAAAACAACCGTTATCCCTATCTTGACAGATCTTTACAGACGTGGAAACTGTTTAATGTCGGACCAGTAGATACGCATACTGTACGTGTCCTCGATGTAGAGCTATGTTACCTGTACATGTGACGCCCTTAAATCCAATTCGGTCAAAGCGACTGTTTCATCAGATGTATATTATTGCGAGTTGATACGTCCGGTTAACCATTTAGAATCCAGTGTTTTCCAACTCATGATAAAATGATTATTAATGTGTACAAAGCAATATGTTCAAAGGAACATTCTTTACTGATAATGGCAAAGAATAAATTCGGATCGTGCGAATAGTTAAGTGTGAGGATTTGAAATATATCGTCGGAAATGAAATTGGTGACACTTGGAATAACACATCATGAAACGTATCGTGATCTTATACATCATCTCCCAGTGACAAGTAACCAACGTGACAGATGCGTATCCTACACAAAAACCATTATTATGCCTCAAAGTGAAATTGGCCAATGAGAGAGCAGAACTACCAACTCAATGAAAATCCAAGATGGTTGTAACTGACCTAATATAATACCGTCTACCGTCGGTAACAGCCATCTTGGATTTTCCAACACCCACCTCACATATTTCACATGAAAATTCTGGTACAGAAATTCGCTCTTCGATACTGTTTTGTGTTTTTATATCATTAATGGTTATTTTCAAGGTCATTAGTTTTAAAAAAATCACGGTCATGACTTTATTGATAAAGATTATAGTTAAAGATTCGACAAGGTTTGGCCTCAAAGGTTTGAAGAGTAGTCTCCCTTTGATCCTGTAGCGTCAACGGTTGTAACTGTGAAGTTTTCATTTTGACATGACATGTGCAATAATGGTACCAGATAGTGAAAAAAAAATTCGGCATAATACATTCGTATATGTCAGGCCTTATTTGTCACTAGACTGTTTTATATTAATTATGTCACTAACTTTTCTTGCACGTTATCTGACGTGGGCTTATACAACGCACCTTATATCTGGTCTGCCGGGTATATGCTTGGCTCTGGCACACGCAGTTCCTGCAATTGCTGTAGAGGCAGGTCACATGTCAGTCCTCAATAAAGTCTTTATTTATGGGCCCAGCACATACCATGTCGAACATATATTTCACAGGTTTGAGAAGTGAGTGAATGTTGATTAAATGCTGAATTGTGTGATATGATTGCAAGTTTTAATTGTTTTGTCTAAACATGCACCACTGGATGTAGTGACCCACGGTCATAGGTGCCTGGCGTGCCCAAGGGACGCAACTCTTGCGAATTGCGGCGCTTTAGACGACGTGGTCACCTATAGCGAGGTGCATACATGTGTGGGTGGCTTCTTGTGCTAGCAGTTTAACATGGATATCCCACTCACACAGTATACTAACTCCGAGCCGGACCTCTATCCACGTGACCACGGAGGCGGTCTCGGGCGGACCTCTATCCAGACCACGCAGGCGGTCTTGGTGTTATAGTAGCCTTGATCGCAAATTTATAAATTTGATCCATGAAATTGTTGACTCGCAAGTGTTATGTAAACCAACGGAAAATAAAAATCTATGAAGCTTTATTTTTTGGCTTTTTGGTAAGTCTAAAGTGGAGTTCGTGTCCCACAGGCATCGCTATTTCTTGGAACGTCATTGATGTCCAAACAGACGCGTTGTAGAGAGTGGTCGGGGTTGACGACGTCGGGTAGATACTCTGTGATAGCTCGACAACCCAGCTGGTTATACATAAGCTCAATGGGGCACGTCGCTATGCAGAGTTCAAATACCGGTTCTGAGTTTGTCAGCACCATATCCCTGCTCGTGGGTTTCTCCAAAGTGGTAATTTCGTCACGATATGGCTGAAATATTGCCGATGTGACGTTAAACTTTAACTCACTCACTCCAAAGTGGTAAACGTCTGAGACCTGCATCACTTCGGGCGTTTCTTCCACATTAAGCTGACACATAGAGAATCTCACCCGAGTGTCTTTTGATATCAAATATATCAACACGAGTTGATAAAAGTGGAAAAATTCCGAGGCTTGCCGAGGATTTGTGCCACTTTTATCAACGAGTGTTGATATATTTGATATCAAAAGACACTAGGGTGAGATTTTATTTATCATCCAATATCATTCTTCCAACTTTTTCAAATTGTAAACAGCAATTTAGCAGTGTCGTCAGTGTAAAAAGTACAGCTTCAGTAGCAGAGCCATGTGTGATGTCATTTGATTGTGACGTCATGTAACCAGTGACGTCACAATGGTCTGCAAAGCATTGTGATGTAATTTCATCGCAGCGATATCTACAGTGTAGATATCGCTTGATCTAATCCAAGCGATATCTCCTATGGGAGCCAGTTTTGGATGATAAATCGTGATATCACTTGCATGCTTTTCAAAGTGGCGTTAAACCAAACACTATATAAACTCAAAGTGGCGCATTCATTATCAATTTGTTGCACAGGCCGACAATCTTGATTGTTGTCAGAGTTCAAACTGAACACAGCAGGAAATGATTTACTGATGCCAAGATCAATCCTTGAATATTAGCAACGTGAAACAAAAGCTTCAACCGTCTCCAAAGCCCGGATCTGGAATTTTTAAATGCACCACAGAAATTACTCGTGTTTTTTTATTGAATATCAAAATTGCGCACTGGTGTTATTAGTTATGGTGACTTTGGTTGCCGTATACGGCGTCATATCAGGTTAGAAAAGCCCATTATATTTCTGCTAACCTAATGTGACACGGAATAAGCAAATAAAGACAACATAACGGCTTTATTATGCCGAAATGTTTTCACTATCAAGTAACTTTATCGCATATGTCATGTCAAATGAAAACTTCTCACTTTCAACCGTTGACGTGAAAGGGTCAAAGGGAGGCTACTCTCCAAGCCTTAGAAGCCAAACCACCATCACACAATCTGTGCATTATCCCTATCAACAACCATGTTGACGTTTAGGAACTTTCCTCAAAACAAACTATTCATTTTCTTCACCACTGCCAACAAACTAATCATTTTCTTCACCGCTGCAAACAAATTATTCAATTTGGGCATAGTTCATGTAACCCCACCTCCATCCCCACCTCCATCCCTACTCCCGCCTAGAAATCAAATGGATGCTCTCTAACAGAATTGTTATTCAATTCATTCCATTCAATTATTAGACAACACTAAAAAACATAAGTTGATGAAGTTTGTTTGGTGTGTGCATTCTGTTACTGTATGAACGTCACAACGTGAGTTTTACGTTGTCGCCACGCTCACAATTATACAAAGTCTCATCCGGTGTCAGATAGTGGTACCAGCGGATGTGAGTTGTACTTCTTATTGTCTGTACATTCAATTGTCAATATGTGCCCGGAAATCTCAACGCTAAATAAGCAAGCTTCAGCAACAATGTTTCCTCGTGGAAAGAGAAACTGAGGCCGATAAATTATGGAGTGAAAAATTACGTCAATGCACTTCTCCGTCATGAAGGTCAAAAAGGCTTAACAAAATTCAAACTGTAAACGGCAAAAACATGATAATATTTTGGATTATGGGATTCTGCAGGCATCGGAAGAATGTGTTTATAAGTTATTCGTGTAAAATGAAGGAATATCAGGAACGTAGTGACGTATTCTGAGTAGATAGGTGACTGAAATGTGGGGTAATCGAAGGTGCAACGGGATCCATCGCTTATGGTTGACGGGTGTCTAACCGACAAATGTGGAATAAGATTAGTATGTTTGCGACAGTCTTGTTCTATTTCAACCGAGTCTATTAACCAAGTTCAATAAAAATAACTCAATAGTGTACACGAGAGGCGAGATGATATGACAATAGGCTCAGGACACTTATGTAGCGATGTGTATATGTGTGTGTGTGTCTGTGTGTGTGTGTCTGTGTGTGTGTGTGTGTGTGTGCGTGCGTGTGTGTGGACGTGTTTGTGTGTGTGTTTGTGGACGTGTGTGTGTGTGTGTGTGGACGTGTGTGTTTGTGTGTGTGTGTGTGTGTGTGTGTGTGGACGTGTGCGTTTTTTTTTTTTTTGTGTGTGTGTGTGTGTGTGTGGACGTGTGGACGTGTGTGTGTGTGTGTGTGTGTGTGTGTGTGTGTGTGTGTGTGTGTGTGTGTGTGTGTGTGTGTGTGTGTGTTGGACGTGTGTGTGTTTGGACGTGTGTGTGTTTGGACGTGTGTGTGTTTGGACGTGTGTGTGTGTGTGGACGTGTGTGTTTGAGTGTGGACGTGTGTGTGTGGACGTGTGTGTGTGTGGACGTGTGTGTGTGTGTGTGTGTGTGTGGACGTGTGTGTGGACGTGTGTGTGTGTGTACTAACTAGACATTGTTAGTATTATTTTGTTTTTAATTTCGAAAATTCGTAACGAAAATATTTATATACGAACTCGCACTTCAGGAAACTGAGTGATGCGTGCATCAAATGTACTACGGTACTTCTGTATGAGTTGCCTCCCTTCCATAACCTTTGTTCACTTCCGGGATTTGCACATGATCAATCACTACCTTGTGTCAGAACAATAACAAAATGACTGATACCTGCCAAAAACCAGAAAGACAATGAATGTGTCTTAATTATTATCAAGGTAAGATACATCCCTAACATATACTGCTAAAATAATCAAGTGTATTGACCAAGAGAGATTTTCGGCGACTAGTTTCCACTTTGTTTACATCCGTCAGCTGTTGAACTTCTCCACTTACACCCGGGTAATGCCGGCACTCTGGACTACAGTCAAGGGATACACTCCATACATTTGTTTGTGAATGTAGGATACAATTTATTCTGAGTTTGGAGATTGATGGTGGTCAGGTCCGTGTTTAAATGTCCGTGTATTATATTTAAACCAAAAGATCTAGTTTTTAAAAAATAAAATGAAAGGGATAACGAAAGAAAATATTATCAGTGTAATCTTCATAAAGTTATATGAACTTTATTGCGCTTAGGAATAAAGTGGTGGGTTCCATAACCCAGATATGATTATTATTACTATCGACTAGCTGCAGACACTTACATATACCTGAAATGCCATTTTTGTTCAAGATTTCTGGTAAATATTCAGTGAGACAGATCTACAGGTACATCAGCATTGATTTGTAAAGGAGTCAATCTTTTTTGAGTCTTTCAGCCCAATTCTGGCTATATGACAGTGGCCTGTAAATATTCAAGTCGGGACATGGTAAAGTTATGACTGAAAGCATGTGCTGTGATCCCTGGACAGGGCATGGATGAAAGATCGATGAACACATCAGTCACACAGCCAGACCAAATAAACCTATTATAATTGACTCTTACTATGCATGCTACAAGCATGAGACATGTGAGGTACCAATGAACACTGGGGACATTTTGATATGGAATTCGCTCTCTGATTTTCAGATATTTTACTCTGATATAATACCTCTTGCTGTGAAGTTAGGTGAACTTTCTATAACCAGGTATAATGAGTGTTAAGTCTGCTAAATTCTCTGTAAGATGAGCAAAGTTTTAATTTGGATCGAGCAACCAATCTGGTTTATGTGTGTTGAAATTGAACACAAACCAGCATTTTGATATGAAGAGTTATGAGATTGTAAAATGTGAGAGTTTGGAGCTATTGTTAAGAACAAAGACTAAGAGGTGATAAAGCAATGAAGCTGATTTTTGAAAGATGGGCTCATAAACCCCAATAATTTGAATTTGGCAGTCAAAATTCGCCAACCTGAAATGACCTTTGGATATTTTGTCAGATATGGATGGAGGGAGATTTTAATGAATTCTAATGAGGTGATATCCTGTCTACATGGTCTAACTCACTCTCACTAAATGTATTTACCTGTACATTCCCATCACATTTTAGGTACTCCCTCAAACATGACATAAACAAGGCCACAGGGGAGTCCCTCCAAGATGGCCGACGGACAAGACGTAGTGTTCCAGCCCGAGTTTGAGTCTGCCGAGGAAGAACTGCTGCATCATGCTCGTCATGGGTGTGCATCCCGTGTCCTGAAGCTGGTTGTTCCAGGTGCTGACAATGACGTGGTCCTAGACATCAACTGCAAAGGTAGATGATTCTCGCACAATGTCAAGTGTGAGGAGTGATTACCATTTCTCATGTTTTGTTAATATGTATACATGTGAGTGAGTATGGTTTTACGCTTTTATCAATATTCCAGCAATATCACAGCGGGGGACACCAGGATTAGGGTTTCACACATTATACCCATGTCATGAATCGAACCCGGGTCTTCAGCGTGACGAGCGAATGCTTTAACCACTAGGCTACCCGACTGCCCCATGTATACATATATCTCTTTAAATCTCTCTGTTTGTGTGAGGTTAAGATGGAAACCATCATTGTACTACACTATGTGTCACCAGAGTTTTACCTTGACTTACAAAAGTGGGGTCCAGGTGACCCCGATAATTAATCTTAAGGGTCCTTGCAGGCAATATGAGCGTCCTGTAAAGTAATGAAACAGTGTAGTGTACCTTTTGATAATTACTTTAGAGCCTGGAATGAATGTGGACAGTGGTCATGATTGATGGATGAAATAACAGACACCCGTACCTGCTATTGATGCGCTGAAGGTACATTGAAAATTATTGTGCATACATCAGGATGCAGTATATTCTCATTCTGCATCCAATCTCATTATTTGTGCATCGTGTAAAATCCTGGTCACATCAGTGACCTATCGAAAAAATCCCCAAATAAATAATTATGTGTTTACTTGTATTGCGCTAGCCTCCACACACTCGGGGCATGCTCAAAGTACTAACATTATTACCTTGGTCAATGGATCGAGTGTGCACTCGATTTTCATTCTCAGCGCCACGGGGAGTATACATCATCCCTTATGGGTAGTATGATCCATCCCTTCGGGGGAAAACATCCATCTCTCTGGGGGATTATCCATCCCTTCTGGGGAAATCATCCATCCCTTCTGGGGAAATCATCCATCTCTCTGGGGGATTATCCATCCCTTCTGGGGAAATCATCCATCCCTTCTGGGGAAATCATACAACACCCTTCTGGGGAAATCATACAACACCCTTCTGGGGAAATCATACAACACCCTTCTGGGGAAATCATATAACACCCTTCTGGGGAAATCATCCATCCCTTCTGGGAAATCATACAACACCCTTCTGGGGAAATCATACAACACCCTTCTGGGAAATCATCCATCCCTTCTGGGTAACCATCCATCCCTTCTGGGAAACCATCCTGTCCCTTTCACCTTTCACCCCACACTCCCCACTAGAGACACCCCACGCTCCCCACTAGAGACACCCCACACTCCCCACTAGAGACACCCCACGCTCCCCACTAGTGACACCCCACACTCCCCACTAGTGACACCCCACACTCCCCACTAGAGACACCCGACACTCCCCACTAGTGACACCCCACTCTCCCCACTAGTGACACCCCACACTCCCCACTAGTGACACCCCACTCTCCCCACTAGAGACACCCCACACTCCCCACTAGTGACACCCCACAATCCCCACTAGTGACATCCCACACTCCCCACTAGTGACACCCCACTAGTGACACCCCACACTCCCCACTAGTGACACCCCACACTCCCCACTAGAGACAACCCACTCTCCCCGCTAGTGACACCCCACACTCCCCACTAGTGACACCCCACGCTCCCCACCAGAGACACCCCACGCTCCCCACTAGTGACACCCCACAATCCCCACTAGTGACATCCCACACTCCCCACTAGTGACACCCCACTAGTGACACCCCACACTCCCCACTAGTGACACCCCACACTCCCCACTAGAGACAACCCACTCTCCCCGCTAGTGACACCCCACACTCCCCACTAGTGACACCCCACGCTCCCCACTAGTGACACTCCACTCTCCCCTCTAGTGACACCCCATGCTCCCCACTAGTGACACCCCACACTCCCCACTAGTGACACATGGCGCTCTCCCCACTAGAGACACCCCACGCTCCCCACTAGAGACACCCCACTCTCCCCACTAGTGACACCCCACACTCCCCACTAGTGACACATGGCGCTCTCCCCACTAGAGACACCCCACGCTCCCCACTAGAGACACCCCACGCTCCCCACTAGTGACACCCCACGCTCCCCACTAGTGACACCCCACGCTCCCCACTAGTGACACCCCACGATCCCCACTAGTGACACCCCACGCTCCCCACTAGAGACACCCCACGCTCCCCACTAGAGACACCCCACGCTCCCCACTAGTGACACCCCACGCTCCCCACTAGTGACACCCCACGCTCCCCACTAGAGACACCCCACGCTCCCCACTAGAGACACCCCACGCTCCCCACTAGTGACACCCCACGCTCCCCACTAGTGACACCCCACGCTCCCCACTAGTGACACCCCACGATCCCCACTAGTGACACCCCACGCTCCCCACTAGAGACACCCCACGCTCCCCACTAGAGACACCCCACGCTCCCCACTAGTGACACCCCACGCTCCCCACTAGTGACACCCCACGCTCCCCACTAGAGACACCCCACGCTCCCCACTAGTGACACCCCACGCTCCCCACTAGTGACACCCCACGCTCCCCACTAGAGACACCCCACGCTCCCCACTAGAGACACCCCACGCTCCCCACTAGAGACACCCCACGCTCCCCACTAGTGACACCCCACGCTCCCCACTAGAGACACCCCACGCTCCCCACTAGAGACACCCCACGCTCCCCACTAGAGACACCCCACGCTCCCCACTAGAGACACCCCACGCTCCCCACTAGTGACACCCCACGATCCCCACTAGAGACACCCCACACTCCCCACTAGAGACACCCCACGCTCCCCACTAGAGACACCCCACGCTCCCCACTAGAGACACCCCACGCTCCCCACTAGAGACACCCCACGCTCCCCACTAGTGACACCCCACGATCCCCACTAGAGACACCCCACACTCCCCACTAGAGACACCCCACGCTCCCCACTAGAGACACCCCACGCTCCCCACTAGAGACACCCCACGCTCCCCACTAGAGACACATGGCACTCTCCCCACTGGTGACACCCCACTCTCCCCACTGGAGACACCCCACACTCCCCACTAGTGACACCCCACGATCCCCACTAGAGACACCCCACTCTCCCCACTGGAGACACCCCACACTCCCCACTAGAGACACCCCACGCTCCCCACTAGAGACACCCCACGCTCCCCACTAGTGACACCCCACTCTCCCCACTGGAGACACCCCACACTCCCCACTAGAGACACCCCACGCTCCCCACTAGAGACACCCCACGCTCCCCACTAGAGACACCCCACGCTCCCCACTAGTGACACCCCACTCTCCCCACTGGAGACACCCCACACTCCCCACTAGAGACACCCCACGCTCCCCACTAGAGACACCCCACGCTCCCCACTAGAGACACCCCACGCTCCCCACTAGTGACACCCCACGATCCCCACTAGAGACACATGGCACTCTCCCCACTGGTGACACCCCACTCTCCCCACTGGAGACACCCCACACTCCCCACTAGTGACACCCCACGCTCCCCACTAGTGACACATGGCGCTCTCCCCACTAGAGACACCCCATGCTCCCCACTAGAGACACCCCACACTCCCCACTAGTGACACCCCACGATCCCCACTAGTGACACATGGCGCTCTCCCCACTAGAGACACCCCATGCTCCCCACTAGAGACACCCCACACTCCCCACTAGTGACACCCCACGATCCCCACTAGTGACACATGGCACTCTCCCCACTGGTGACACCCCACGCTCCCCACTAGAGACACCCCACACTCCCCACTAGTGACACCCCACGATCCCCACTAGAGACACATGGCACTCTCCCCACTAGTGACACCCCACACTCCCCACTAGAGACACCCCACGCTCCCCACTAGTGACACCCCACGATCCCCACTAGAGATACATGGCACTCTCCCCACTAGAGACACCCCACGCTCCCCACTAGAGACACCCCACACTCCCCACTAGAGACACCCCACGATCCCCACTAGAGACACCCCACACTCCCCACTAGTGACACCCCCCACACTCCCCACTAGTGACACCCCACACTCCCCACTAGAGACACCCCACACTCCCCACTAGAGACACCCCACACTCCCCACTAGTGACACCCCATGCTCCCCACTAGTGACACCCCACACTCCCCATTAGAGACACATGTCACTCTCCCTACTCTACCCTGCTGACAGGTAAAAAGAAGTTTAACCGAGGATGGACCCCTCTACACTTGGCGTCATACTTTGGACACTATGACACGGTGAAGATACTTTTACAGGTAACAATCCATCAATGCCCTCATAGTTTTGGTATGACGTATAGTGTGGTAACATTTGTAAGTTTTGATATTTGAGTCCAGCACATTTTATCCTTGTTTTATGGCTGAGCCTTGCCTATGCATGCTTTGGTTCAGTTTTCATAATTATGAAATAAAATGTGAAAAAAAGAATTCTGTTTCATAATATGGTCATTTTCAACATTTTTTCTTATCATTACTCAAAGGTCATTTTTCTTAATAGACTTCACATCTTTTATGTAGTATCATCCATGTCATAAGTTGTGTGAACATACCAGTCAGCTGTTCAGGAAACATGGTTTTTGTTGCAAATTGATTCCAGAATGGAGCTGATCTGAATGTTGTGAACACAGTTGGAGACACACCACTACATCAGGCTGCACACACAGCAAGGGAGGTGAGATGGAGTAGGGGTGAGATGGGGTAGGGGTGAGATGGAGTAGGAGATGAGATGGGATAGGAGATGAGATGTGGTAGGAGATGAGATGGGGTAGGGGTGAGATGGGGTAGGGGTGAGATGGGGTAGGGGTGAGATGGAGTAGGAGATGAGATGGGGTAGGAGATGAGATGGGGTAGGGGTGAGATGGGGTAGGGGTGAGATGGGGTAGGAGATGAGATGGGGTAGGGGTGAGATGGAGTAGGAGATGAGATGGGGTAGGAGATGAGATGGGGTAGGGGTGAGATGGAGTAGGAGGTGAGATGGGGTAGGGGTGAGATGGGGTAGGAGAAGAGATGGGGTAGGAGAAGAGATGGGGTAGGGGTGAGATTGGGTAGGAGTGAGATGGGGTAGGAGGTGAGATGGGGTGGTAGGTGAGATGGGGTGGGAGGTGAGATGGGGTATGAGGTGAGATAGGGTAGGGGTTAGATGGGGTGGAAGGTGAGATGGGATAGGGGTGAGATGGCGTTGGGGGACAATTCAATCCACTAATCACAGTAAGGAATTTTAAGTCCCAGGAAAACTAATAATGATTCATGTGTCAGAGATCCTATATAAATGAACAATGTTTTTATTTGAAAGACTAGCCAAGATATTAGATTGAAATATTGTTGTCGTTTAATTGATACAGTGGTTGATTAAGTCCTACAGTTAAACACTTTGGGCAGTTTGGTTTACGGAATGTTTTAAGGCCTTGATGTGTTACACAGTACACAGTTTGTTTGAGGAGCATTTCCAAGCTTAGCAAAACTCAAAACGTATTATCTCATTCATGTCGCAGCAAGTTCTCACAGTCCTGCTGGAGTATGGAGCTAATGTGACGGCCGTGAACTCCGAGGGGCATCAGCCAAGAGACCTGGCCCGGAACCCCAACGTGAGACGGCTTATAGAAGGTAGGTACAGGAAGCCCAACGTGAGACGGCTTATAGAAAGTAGGTACAGGAAGACCAATGTGAGACGGCTTATAGAAAGTAGGTACAGGAAGACCAACGTGAGACAGCTTATAGAAAGTAGGTACAGGAAGCCCAATGTGAGACGGCTTATAGAAAGTAGGTACAGGAAGACCAATGTGAGACGGCTTATAGAAAGTAGGTACAGGAAGCCCAACGTGAGACAGCTTATAGAAGGTAGGTACAGGAAGCCCAATGTGAGATGGCTTATAGAAGGTAGGTACAGGAAGCCCAATGTGAGACGGCTTATAGAAGGTAGGTACAGGAAGCCCAACATGAGATGGCTTATAGAAGGTAGGTACAGGAAGCCCAACATGAGACCACTTATAGAAAGTAGGTACAGGAAGCCCCACGTGAGATGGCTTATAGAAGGTAGATACAGGAAGACCAAGGTGAGACGGCTTATAGAAGGTAGGTACAGGAAGCCCAATGTGAGACGGCTTATAGAAGGTAGGTACAGTAAGACCAATGTGAAACGGCTTATAGAAGGTAGGTACAGTAAGACCAATGTGAGACGCTTATAGAAGGTAGGTACAGGAAGCCCAACGTGAGATGGCTTATAGAAGGTAGGTACAGGAAGCCCAATGTGAGACGGCTTATAGAAGGTAGGTACAGTAAGACCAACGTGAGACGGCTTATAGAAGGTAGGTACAGGAAGCCCAACGTCAGATGGCTTATAGAAGGTAGGTACAGGAAGCCCAATGTGAGACGGCTTATAGAAGGTAGGTACAGTAAGACCAATGTGAGACGGCTTATAGAAGGTAGGTACAGTAAGACCAATGTGAGACGCTTATAGAAGGTAGGTACAGGAAGCCCAACGTGAGATGGCTTATAGAAGGTAGGTACAGGAAGCCCAATGTGAGACGGCTTATAGAAGGTAGGTACAGTAAGACCAACATGAGACGGCTTATAGAAAGTAGGTACAGGAAGCCCAACGTGGGATGGCTTATAGAAGGTAGGTACAGGAAGCCCAATGTGAGACGGCTTATAGAAAGTAGGTACAGGAAGACCAACGTGAGACGGCTTATAGAAAGTAGGTACAGGAAGACCAATGTGAGACGGCTTATAGAAAGTAGGTACAGGAAGACCAACGTGAGACAGCTTATAGAAAGTAGGTACAGGAAGCCCAATGTGAGACGGCTTATAGAAAGTAGGTACAGGAAGACCAATGTGAGATGGCTCATAGAAGGTAGGTACAGAAAGACCAACGTGACACGGCTTATAGAAGCTTTGAGATGACCAGTCTCTGCACTCCCATCTCCTCTGGGGTAACTTTGAGTTGAATATCATTCCCACTCATCACCTTTTTGTGGATGGCTTCCTGTGCACCTAGCAGACCAAAGGAGGGTGTGTGGTCCGATGATTGGCATGTCAGTTGTCAAGAGTTCCTTGGAGTGTAGTACATTTTGAAAGGCTTTTTTGGTGGTGCTTTTCCATGTTATATATAACTTTGTCTTAACTTGTATGATGGAAAGGCTAATATTTGAGACGTGTAGATATTTGACAGTGTTCCTGCTGAACTAATTAACTGAGTTATCTCCCTTCAGCGGCCGAGGTCCATGAAAGCAAACGCCACGAGGAGGAGTTCCTTCAGGCAGCTGCGATCGGGAACATGGATGGTGTTTCAGACAAGGTAGGGGGTTCATAGTATATTAGACCACCACTGTGGTCTAGTGGATAGAGTGTATGCCTGGAGGCTAGGAGGTTGTGGTTCCATACCCTGGCTGCTTCATACCAAAAAATGTTAAAAGATGGTGCCTGTTGTTTCCGTGCCTGGCACTTGGCATAAAGGTGATAAAACAAGGACTGGTTGTCTCAGAGTCAGTATAATGTGTCTGAGTGGGGTATTCATGTTAAAATGTGGCATGGTGTCTCAGTTGGCTTGCTAATACAAGTAGTAACAAAAATGGCTTTGACAGGAGACATTGCTTGGGTGAGGTCAAGCAGTATCTCCTAGCAGATATCTCTACAATAAACTTGCATCACAAGACTTGCAGACCACTGTGACATCATCAATTACTATTAAAGACAGACTGACTGACTGACAGACAGACAGACAGACAGACAGACAGACAGACAGACAGATTGTTTATTTGAGTCTCACCTCACAAAATATTTACGTACATATAACAGTACATATTAGTGAGCCACACGTTTAGGGTTACGAGAGACTTAAAATATATCACAGTATATACAGTGTAAAAGGGGTATATAAAATATAATACCAGTCACTAGACATATAAAATATTTTTTCTGCGTTAGAGAATTAGAAAGCAGGTTTTGGCTGTAAAATATACATAATATATAAAAAGTAAAATAAGTTTGTCAGTATTTCATAACTCTAGGAAGTTGGGAAAGCTAAAAGTGACCTTTTCGTATAAACTTTCACGCAAATCATCGTACACAGGTCAATCCAGCAATACATGACATTCATCCTCAATACTTTCCTTACACTGAAACACATTCACATTCGTATGTTATTTAATGCAGAGAGGTAAAGGATTTTTGAAGTTTAACAATTCCCTCCTACATGATCAAGAATACATGGAGATGGTACAAAAAACAATAAATTCTACTTTACAACAGTATGAAGATAAAAATGATGATAAAAAATACCCAATAAATGATCAGTTACTCTGGGAAATGTTGTTACTAGAAATTAGAGGAATGACAATATATTATTTATCAACTAAGAAGAAAAAATCTGTGAAAAGGTAAAGTAGACTACAAGATCTAGAAATTAAACTGGACTTAGAGGGAAAATAGAATCTGAAAAGAGGGAACTGTTAGATAAAATAAATGAAGTAAAAACAGAATTAGAAGAGATTAGCGAACAAAAGACACTGGGGCTGTTCATAAGATCCAAAGCTAAATGGACAGAACTTGGGGGAAAAACCTAGTGAATATTTTATTGGCTTGAAAGAAAATGACAAATGGAAAAAGCCCAAGACCTAATGGTTTCACGTCAGAATTTCTGAAGTTTTTCCTGGAATGACTTTGGCCAATTTTGGATAAATTCAGTGAACTTTGCATATAATGGATCTTTATCTGTAACACAAAAACAGGGTTTGATCACTTGCCCACCAAAAGGTAATAAAAGAAAGAATGTTTTGAAGAGCTGGCGACCAATTTCCTTGTTAAATACATCATATAAACTAGCAGCTGCTGTTGTCGCAAATAGTAATAAAATATTTTGCCGCTAGTAGTTAATGAAGATCAATAGGCCTTTGTCCATTGAAGGTATATAGGGGAAGTTACAAGATTAATTTTCGACTATTCAGAATCCTACCCAATACCAGGTTTATTACTACTTATAGATTTTGAGAAAACTTTTGATACTGTTGATAGAAAATTTATTCTAAATGTTTTAAAAATGTTCAATTTCGGGCCAATTATACAGAAATAATTTTTTTTGAACAACATAGAGTCGAGTGTCTTTGTGAATAAATTTGCTAGTTCATTTTTTATGGTTACTAGAGGCTGCCGATAAGGAGACCCAGTGTCACCATATATTTCTATATTGTGTGCTGAAATATTTGCACTACTGCTTAGGAATAATAAGAGAATTAAAGACAATATTGAATGTGTTTCAGCACAATTTGCAGATGATACCACAGTAACCTTAGATGGATGCAGTTTTAAATATACTAAATGTCTGAGATTTTCTGGTTTAAAGGTTAGTGCTGAGATAACAAAATTTATATGGATAGGATAAAAATAGAGAATCTCACCCGAGTGTCTTTTGATATCAAATATATCAACACGAGTTGATAAAAGTGGAAAAATTCCGAGGCTTGCCAAGGATTTTTGCCACTTTTATCAACGAGTGTTGATATATTTGATATCAAAAGACACTCGGGTGAGATTTTATTTATCATCCAACGTCATTCTTCCAACTTTTTCAATTTGTAGGCAGTAATTAGCAGTGTCTTCAGTGTAAAAAGAACTGCTTTGATTTGATTGTGATGTCACAATGGTCTGCAAAGCATTGTGATGTAATTTCATTGCAGCGATATCTACAGTGTAATCTAATCCAAGTGATACCTCCTGTGGGAGCCAGATTTGGATGATAAAAAGAGATCTAGGTATAAGATCTGTAAGGAATGGAATGGTCTCAGACAAATTTTAAGCTTTTGGGATTAAATTTTGATATAGATTTAGAAAAGATGGTGGATATTAACTATTAAGATAAATTTGATCAAACAGAAAAAGAAATGAATTTATGGTCAGTATGATCTCCCACCAATGGGAAGAAATGTAGTATTACAATATGTTCCTCTGCCAAATCTGAATCATCTTTTTGCTTCCATTCCAAACCCTTCGGATAACCTAATAGAAAAGTTTTAAAAAATATGTTTTGGCTTTGTGTGGAAAGGGAAACATGATAGAGTTAAAAGAAATATTATGTCCCTACCACCCAGATACATAGGTACTAGTGTACCAGTTGTTAAAAGTGTTACTGTAGCTCAAAAACTGGCATGGGTGAGAAGATAAGTCGAAAGTAATCTTACGTGGACCACTGTTACAACATTGTGTATTCCCACTTTAAAGGACTTTGGTTGGCAGAACCATTTTATATTGATAAGTGTATTATCCCATGTGTTTCAAAGTTGTTTTGGAAAGATGTGGTGAGGGCGTGGTCAGTATAACTAGAAAAATGTTATTTAAGGGTAAAGGACGCCTTTGAGATATCGAGTCAATCACTTTGGTATAATAGTACTATAACGATAGATACTAAGCATGTATTTTATGCTAAATGGGCAGGAAGAGGAATAAATATTGTTAGTGATATCTTAAATTTAGATGGAGAAGTTTTGAGTATTGAGGAAATTCAAGAAAAATTCCGAATCAAAATAGATTTTCTTACATTCCAGGGTATTAAAAATGCACTAATGGAATACTGTCATATTAGAAATGAACATTTTGGTAAAGCGGGTATTGTAAATAGTTGACCTATACTGCCTTCAACATCATTCAGCTTAATAGAAATGACAAGGGAAATGTTTTTTCACACTCTATTAAATTCAGGATTTATGAAAACATCAGGTCAACAGAAATGGGAATACTTGCTTCACAAAGAATACAAGAAGGATGAGTGGGAATCTATTAATTTAATGGCCTCCAGATGTACACAAAGTGTGAATATGAAGTGGTTTCAATTTAAAAACATTCATAATATATTAACAACAAACAGTTTTTTGTATAAAATTAAATACAAAGACTCACCATTGTGTACCTTTTGTAAACTAGTACCAGAGACCATAGAACACTTATTGTCTGATAAGTAATGCTGTAAATGTTTGGAAAGATATGAAGGAATGGCTGGAAAAGATATCTGAAGGAAAACTTGATTTTACAAGTGAAAATATTGTATTTGGTTTTAAGGGAAAAACCAATAATCACTTAAATGCAGTATGTTTGGTCGTAAAAGAAACAATTTATAAAATGAGCAGAAACGAAAACAAACCTTTTTTTAAACGAATTCAAAGAGAAATATTAAAGTAGTACCAAATATCTAAATATATTGCCTTCTCAATTGTAATCAGACAAAATGTCTTGCCTTTTGGTCATCTTTACATTCTCTATTTCCAGATACTGATATTGAGATTTTAGGAGTAGGAGGAATGTAAATGCTAACCGGTAATACTTCAGTAAGGATGAACTGAATGTTTTGAACTGTCACTCTACTCTAAACAATGTATGCACTGTTGCAGCTCATGCGAATATAAGTATACTGTATGTATCATGAACTATGGGGAAATAAAACATTAAATAATGAATAAAAACAGTTGCTATGATGTCATTATCAAATGATACCACTTATCTCTCCCTACTGAAACTAGTGAGCTGTACTATTAACAATCAACACTGGTTACTGCTGTTTACAAGCTGAAAATGTTGGTAGGATCATTTTGATAAATAGGATCTCACACACATGTCTCCCAAGCTCAAGTACATCAAGACTTGTGTAGCTACCAAAGTTCAGATATTTGTGACTTTTATCAACTTGTCTTGATATATGTCATCTCGGAAGAAACACTGGTGAGATTCTCGATTGACATGCCCTGTGTTTGCAGCTGCAGAAGAGTCATGTGAACATCAACTGCATCGACAGGTTCGGCAACACGGCGCTGCATATAGCCGCGCTGAGGGACAAGAAGGAAGCGGCGGTGTTCCTGCTGCAGAACGGCATCAACACTGCCATCAAGAACAACAATAGTGAGCATTGGGGCGGGTGGGTGTGTGTGTGTGTGTGCGGAGGGGGGATGTGGGTGTCCAGCAACAAGAACAACAATAGTGATCATTCAGGGGGGGTCTAGCAACAAGAACAACAATAGTGAGCATGCAGGGGGGTCTAGCAACAAGAACAACCATAGTGAGCATTCAGGGGGGTCTAGCAACAAGAACAACCATAGTGAGCATTCAGGGGGGTCTAGCAACAAGAACAACAATAGTGAGCATTCAGGGGGGTCTAGCAACAAGAACAACCATAGTGAGCATTCAGGGGGGACTAGCAACAAGAAGAACCATAGTGAGCATTCAGGGGGGTCTAGCAACAAGAACAACCATAGTGAGCATTCAGGGGGGTCTAGCAACAAGAACAACCATAGTTCCAGGTTAGAAACTGGACTGCTATGGTCTATGGCCTCGCGAAAAATGGTAGAAATAAACATGCTGACGTTTACTGAGCCAAAAATGAGCTCATGTCACAGAAGGCCCGTAAAGATAAAATATGAACACTATTAAACATTGCAATTCCTTGATAAAATTAAACAACAACAGTTTAACGGATTCAGAACACAATTTGAAAATATATGCGCAAAAAAGGAAAGACATAATCATGATAATCATGACCTATTTACTGTGTATATCCGACTCCTTTGTTGCTGCTGCTGGTGTTATGTGACAAATAGGTACAACAGATCAATCGCTGAGAAACATGGGATTATGAATGTAAAGGATGATGTTAAGGCAGGTGTTCACTGTGTCCACAGATCAGCTGGCGGCGGACATGGCGAGGACCCAGCCCATGAGGCAGCTGTTGGGGGTTCGGGGGGTCAAGGCGCTACAGCTGCAGCCTCAGAGGTTTGAGGGCCAGCTGTTAAAGGTTGGTCAGTGCACATGTGATCCAGGCGAGGTGGCTGGACGAGTGATGCTAGAGTCTCAAGTTCATTCCTCTGTGTATGGTTGTTAGGAAGGAAGGCTTGCCTTATGGTTAAACTGAAGCTCTTCACACCTAAGACCCAGGATAAATTCTCTACATGGGTACAATGTGTGTCTTGTGTTCCTCATATTGCTGATTTATTGCTCAAAGCAGCATAAAACCACACTCATTCACTCACTCAAGCAAGTGGTATTACTATTATTTTGGTGGGAATATATCAGGGTTGCTTTATTCTTGGCTAAAAAAATAATAGTCTTTGTTCTCAGGCACCACCCACATCATCATAAAGTCTGCTACACGTTTCGTTTATATTTCCATTTTCAAAAAGAAAATCCTTAAATATTCCACATCTCGAACACACAACCCCGGCAGTGAAATGCTACAATAATTAATTTGATGTTGTTTTCAGAAATCTCGGATATTGGGCTTCCGACCAGTATGGGTCATTGTGGAAAGAGGAGTACTGGCTTACTTTGAAAACAGGTAAGGTTGATGTGACTGTATCAAGGGGATTTTAGTGTTCTTCAGACTTATAATTCAAGAGACTGCACACCACAAACAGTTGCTACATGTTTGTCTAAGAGTTGTCTCCCCTTGACCATGGTCGTTTCAAACTTTAGAGTTTAGATTAGGGGTTTTCGTTTTATGTCTCTCCTTTTCTTGACCATTGTCCAGTGATGAAGTAACTTGTCCAGCTTACAAAGGTTACTGTTCTCTTGAGTTTAGCACCTTGTACAACTTTTCAATACTATGATTTCTTTCCTTTGTCACTCTTCAATGTTCTGTTACTTTCACTACACTTTAGGGGCGACGCCAGTACAGGTTCAAAAAGAAAAGGAATGAAATATCTAGATGAAGCCAAAGTATATGTGAGTTGAAGCAACTACATTATTATTTCATTCTGTTTTCTTTTTATAGACGATTTAATTGTTGTTTTTTTAAGTCTTTCACATGTTAAGGTAACTTTTTATGTTTGGGATATTTGAAGTATTGAAACCTGTCCTCTTAGTTCATGAGGTAGTTGAATGGCAGAGTTGTTAAGGTGTTTGCCTGTCATACCTGAGGTCCAGTTTGCCTCCCTTGATTGGTACAGTGAGTGAAGGATATTGTCGTTATTGGAGAATACATCCCAGGACTTTACTCTGGATAAGGTTACAAGGTGAGACTTGAGGGGGGGGGGGGGGGTGGATCCAGAGGAGTGTGTGGATCCAGAAGGTGTGTGTGGATCCAGATGTGTGTGTGGATCCAGAGGAGGTGTGTGGATCCAGGGGGGGGGGGCATCCGGGGGGATCCAGAGGGAGGTGTGGATCCAGAAGGAGGTGTGGATCCAGAGGGAGGTGTAGATCCATAAGGGAGGTGTAGATCCAGCGGGGGTGTTGATCTTGAGGGAAGGGTGGATCCAGAGGGGAGTGTTGATCCGTGGGTTGGAGGTGTGGATCCAGAGGGGGGTGTTGATCCAGAGAGGGGTGGATATGGAGGGGGTGTTGATCCAGAAGGAGCGGTGGATATAGAGGGGTGTGTGGATCCAGAGGGGGATGGATATAGAGGCGTGTGCATGGGTGCGGATCCAGAGAGGGGTGTGGATCAAGTAGGAGGTGCAGGGAGTGAGCACCCCCACTTTATGTAGCATTTTAAAAACATTTATACATTTGGAAGTTTCATATGTGCATGTGTATACTAATTGTAAATGTATCATCACACTTACCTCCCTCATTTGGTGATCAGTTTTAGCCAAGCTTACACAGTTACCTAATACAAATTGCCAAACAATAAATGCATGTCTCCAGTTAAAAAACTGTTTCTATGTCTGTGACAGGTGCCTTCAGCTGCAAGCCGTGAGATGAAGATCTCATTCTCAGATGGGACGACGCACACACTCAGTGCAGACCCAGCTGATGGTGGCCTCATCACTAAACAGGTGAGTCACATCAGCATCAGTCGATCACCCTAGAAGCAGAGTGACAGGGTGATAGTGTAGAGAACATTGAGCGTGGTTGATACAGTTAAGCAACAATTTACACTTGATTTTCTTACGCGTGTCCAGTAAATATAACGTGATGATTTATGTTTTATACTATTTTTTAGATTAGCAATTAGGTCCAAGGTACTTGATCATCAAAGATGATGTCTTATATCGTGAAGCTGGTGGAGATTCAGGGTTAGAACAGATCCCCAGTAACATGCTTGATGTACAAGGCATGGGATGTTGCTCATAATATCAATCACTGGTTTGTCTGATTGAGACTGACTTACTTACCATGACTGCCATCTTCCCAAGGCAAGAGAGTTAACTGACTTCAAAATTCCAGTTTCCACTCTTGCCGAACTAGGCTGGACTTCCTGCGCTCGATCGTAGCGCCACCAGTGGCTGTTACGAGTCATGTCCCTTCTATGCCTCTCCTATGGACCAGTTAGATTCCAACTCTCGTGTCACTTGCATTTGTTTCAAACAAAATGACGGCGCCAAGACAGGACGATCTGATCGACAATCAAGATCTATATTGTGATAAAATTGGTTCTTACATCGCAAAGTGCATCAAATCATGTGAACACCTTGATTAAAAACTTGATAAGATTAGGAAAATATCTGTTGACAACGAGATGGCATATGCTTTACAACTCAGCAATCGACCGAAATCTGCATGACAGTTTACGAACCGGATTTCGATTTCGGTTCGCGATTTTGATTGGACTATGCATAGACTTGTTAGTCCAGCCAAAACTCCATAATACCAGCCTAGTTTGGCAAGGGTGGAAACTGGACTTTTATAGTCAGTTAACTCCCTTGCCTCAGGAAGCATGGGAAGATGCATGACTGCAGGCCAACATCATACAACTGGAATATTGCTGAGTGTGAAGTTATACAACAAAAAACAATATAATTTATGTCATGAGATTGTATGTCAAAATTTAGCTTGACATGTGACTGGGAAGAGTGTTTATTCCGGCAAGGTGACAGAGTGCTACATTGGTGTCCTGCCCCCTTCAGATGCACTTGGACCATTTCTCGTGCCTCTACAGGCTGCCGTTGATCAGTACTCCTCCAAGAAAATCCACACCCCATCAGCAAGAGTATCCAGCCTGCCATCTTCCAGCTCTACAAGAGACCATCAGTATTTTGATTTCCAAACAATCTATGGATTGCCTAGGTCCAGACCCAGCTACCCTGGGATACTACTTGCCAATCTTCCTGGTCACAAAGAAAGAGAGCTTGAAACTCTGGGTGATCTTCAATATGAAGACATTCAACACCTTGTATTTTGAAGTTTTCACATGAAGTTCAACGTGCTCCTTCGAACAATCATCCGGCCAGGCGACCACATGGTCAGTCAAGACATGTATCTACACAGACCGAGCCATCGGAAGCATCAGTATTTCCTTCAATTTTTTTTCCAAGGCTGCCACTACCAGTGGAAGGTGCTCCCATTTGGAATTTCGTCGGCCCTGCGGTTTTTCACCCACATTATGAAGCCGATCACAAAGTTGCTGCATGTTTGAGGGATCGTCTTTGAACCATACATCGACATTTGTTTTCAGGCCCACGCCGATCCAGACATCCTCATGCGACATCTAGAATTTACACAGCTATTGGTTCGATGATCCTCTCATGGATGTTGTCAATCATTCCTCTTCTCGTCTTAGTATGCTTCAATCCCATGGGTGTGATACAAGAGTTGCCATGCTGGCTCACCTTATTGTCCATCAGAGATAGTCGTGTTGTCGGATTGCCTGGCGATCCCTTCCGGATCAGTTATAAGTTGTACACTGAATAGATTCCTATTCCAGCTGCACGTAACGATGTCCCACATAAAAACATGAAACACATGTTCAACACGATTTCATGTTGTTACGTCCTATTAACGTAAAGGGGTCAGTCACATCGCCTGTTACGGTGTTTTTCACCCACTCACGAGTTCTTACGGCACTAAGGCCGCCTCCGTGGTCTAGTGGTAGAGCATCCACCTGGAGAGCGGAAGGTCCGGGGTTCGATCCACATAAGGATCAAAGGAAGAATTAAGAAATGCATAGTGTGAGACAGGATAGTAATAGAAATATACAATTCATGTAAACTTTACGATTACTTCCACTTTCCTTCCAGAAATGGCTAAATGCTTTAACAGAACACATAGGATTTAGTACCCATTACACTCACCAGGGGGAGGCACAGAATGAGTACGCAGACGACATTGTTCCTCTGGGGACCATGCAAGAAGCACTACAGGTAGGCCATTTTAGTTACTTCAAACTTTATATTCACAACAGGTATATCATTGAAACAAATATTTCTTATTACAAAAGCCAACAAGCTAAGTTCTATACCAAATAACAGTAAACACAAGATATTTAATGGATGGCAACTTCTTTATTCTGTTATGATGCAAATTTTCGGTTAAGATACTGACCGAAACATCACATCATAATAGAACAGAGAAGTTGTCATCCATATAGTATATTGTCTTTACTGTCACTTCTAAACTTCTAAAAATGCCAGTCAAACAGTTTATAGCAATTACCTGTAATGGGATGTTTTACCATGAGCTAGCTAATGTAGGTGTGTATGCTTCTGGAGCTCAGTGATCTTGTATTCTGCATTCTTTAATTAATCAGGCTCGCTGTCTTGGTTGATGCATGTCATCGTATACCAATTGCTTGGATCAATGCTCATGATATTAATCACTGGATTGTCTGGTCCAGACTCGATTATTTACAGACCTCTAGCAAATAGCTGGAATGTTGTTGAGTGCAGCATCATCTTTAATTAATGTTTTATATTAAACCTTCTTATGGTTTTGTACAGAAAGTAAGGGATGTGAGTGGGTAAGAGTGTCTATTTCAATGTCCAATTATTATTTTGTATATATCTGAATCAGTATCCATACCTCTAAAATCAGTCTCACTTTTAGTATCAACATGCAAAACAATAGTTTCTGAACCCATGGGTGTCAGGTCTTATCTATAACAGGGACTCTATAATAAGATATTAATTACAAAAATAAAAAGAAGAAAAATGTTGTTTTAGCTCACCTGATTTTTTAGTTTTGCATTTCTTTTGTTCCCTTGTATTATGACCTTAGTGATGTGATGCAATTATTCCAGAAGACAGGGGTTACATCCCTGAGATCGTGAATTCGATTTATAGTCTCCCAAAGTGGAAAATGTTTCAGACCTGCATCACTTCAGGCTTTCCTCCCACATGAAGCTGTCACACTGTGACGTTACTGAATTACTGTTTGAAGCAGCGTTAATCCCTTCTCCCTCCTTGTTCCCCAGTACAGACCTACATGAGATGTTTCATTGTTGTTACAGACAGCCCAGGCCCATCAGAAGCTGCTGGAGAGGCAGGTCAAGCTGATGTCCCAGAAGGTGGAACAAGTGAAGCAGTCCTCGCCCGGCAACACCTCTGTCAGTGGTGAGTAGACATGCTCTGGTGACATCAAAACCCTGGCTCTATTGCATATGCACAATGTCTGAGGCACATTCCTGATGGGGGGGGGGGGGGGGGTGTTCAAGCATAAATTTGTTGTGTGATGTGATGGGTATGGGGTTGAGGGGGGTTCAAGCATAAATCTGTTGAGTGATGTGATGGGTATGGGGTTGAGGGGGTTCGAGCAGAAATCTGTTGTGTGATGTGATGAGTATGAGGTTAAGGGGGTTTCAAGCATAAATCTGTCATGTGGTGTGACGAGTAAGATGGTGGTTTCAGATGGCCTGAAGTCCGTGCACCAGGAAGTGGTCAGCATCCAGACATCGTCCCAGGACATGTGCACCAGTCTTGCTCACTGCATGACGCTCTTCAGTCAACAAGAGGAGGTAACTCTCACCGTCTTACTTCATTGGGGCCATAATACTGGCTCAGTACACATGTTATCTTGTCAAAACACTGGGCTTTGGCATGTATTTATATACACGGCGGAACAAGACAATTATACTTGGGATCTTTTACAAATTGCAGCGCCACCTGGCTAGCGTTGTCCTTCAGCAGTTTAGTGTCCTTTTTGTGCACTGTACACATTGTTCTTTCTTTACATACGATGTCTTTTGTTTGCGAGTTGTTGTTGGTATTGTTTTGTATTTTGAATTCCTTATTTGCATGTAAACAATGACCTTTGTTTGTAACATTCATACTTTTGTCCTTTTTTCAACTTTGTATTTACTGGATGTCCGCCAATAGTTTTCTCTCCTTGGTTCATTCAAGTTCTAACCTGTGAAGATTCCGGGGTAGAAAAGGTCTTCAGCAACCCATGCTTGCTGTAAAAGGCGACTATGCTTGTCGTAAAAGGCGACTAACGGGATGGGGTGGTCAGGCTCGCTGACTTGGTTGATGCATGTCATCGATCCCAATTGCGTGGATTGATGCTCATGATATTAATCACTGGAATGTCTGGTCCAGACTCCATTATTTACAGACCGCGTCATATAGCTGGAATATTGCTGAGTGTGGCGTTAAACAACAAACCAACCAACCAACCAACCATTCAAGTTCTTTGTTGAGTTCTCATGACAGTGATCTTGTCCAGTGGTTCCTGTGGGGACTGTGGGTTCTCTGCTTGTTGTAAGAGGCAGTATTATGGATTGGGTGGACAAGATTAGTGGCTTGGTTGATAGCATGTTGACATACCCAGATGGTGTGGGACGGTCATGATAAAATAGCTGTGTATTGCTGAGTGCAGTTTCAAACAACAACAAAACAGACAAACAATGGTTCCTGACCCTCCTCCTGCTCTGTCACCAGTCAGATACCGGGAGGCACGGGTGGCTCAGTTGTCTAAGGTGCTGCCATGGACTAGGAGTGGCATGCCAGAACCTTGTGATTATGGGTTCAAATCCCAGGTTGATTGTGGTCCTTGGTTTGTCAACACCAAATTTGCACTCATGGGTTTCACCAGAGTGGTAGACCCCTGAGACATTCATCACTCCCAGCTTACATTCAACATTAGACTGATAACTGTTCAAAGCAGGGTTTAGCCCAACTTAGCAGAATCAATATTCAGTGTGACCTTTTTGTCAAGGTAGCAAGATTGGGATATATTTTCACTAACTGCTCATCACGAAATGGTGATCTGTTGATGGAATTAAGCCTAAGTGTCAGTCTAACACTTTACATGATAGAAATAATAAAATGGTTGTGTGTAGTTATTAATGAAAAAGTAATTTTAAGATACATTTTTAAAATACATGATGAAAGGTAGTACTTTCATAGCATGAAATTATCTTACCTGTAAGCGTTTACACTTTGTCAGGGTCCAGAAACCTGCCCGCCCACTGTTCCATGACTGATAACATTTCTGTGGAGATAGGTGAAATCGATTCCTACCTGCCTGACTGTCGGTAGAAAATATGATTATTCTACACTGACAATTTTTATTGTGACTGATGTGTGACTCACTTTCCTGAGAGCAAGCATTACCTTTGTGCTTATTGAGCTCTAAATATTAAAAGCAAGAATATCTGAGAAAAATGATAATATGTTCTCTCATGTTGTTCCGAAAGTGGGCTTGCAACTGTCAAGATGGACTAGTTACATATGTGAGTCGCCAGCCAACCTTGCTAGTTGGCAGTAAAGATTATTTCAGAAATTGTACACTGTAGTAAGTATTCCTCTGAAGCCTTTATTACCCCCAAGGTTAACAAACGTATGTGCCCCAGGGCAAATGTCACTTCACGTGCATCAGTGTATTGTTGACATCATTCAAATCTTTTTGTGTCATTTGGTCGGAATGATGTCACACTTGAAACGACATCTTAGGTAGAGGTGATTTCATTTGACACATTGTGGTTTTCTAGGAAGGATTTAGAAATAATGAGAATAAAGAAATTATTACACTTACATGTGTGTCATACTGATTTTACGCTCTCGCTGGGGAACAAGTATTGTTACAATCGTTTCGTAAAATCAATACGACACACATGAAGGTGTAATAATCTCTGAAGCTTGCTTATCTGTTCTCAACACGTGTTGATATTTTGTACCTGACAAGTGTATTCCACAGTCGTTGATATTTTGTACCTGACAAGTGTATTCCACAGGTGTTGACATTTTGTACCTGACAAGTGTATTCCACAGGTGTTGATATTTTGTACCTGACAAGTGTATTCCACAGGTGTTGAAATTTTGTACCTGACAAGTGTATTCCACAGGTGTTGATATTTTGTACCTGACAAGTGTATTCCACAGCTGTTGACATTTTGTACTCGACAAGTATACCGAACAGCTGTTGACATAACAGTCATCGTCAGCTGATTTACACTGTAATCTTTATCTCTTAATTGTATACATTTGAAAAAAAAGCTATCATATAATGGCCCTTGTTGGCCTACTGTTATGTTGAACAATTCAAGTCAAATAAAAAGTTTTGTGGCAGGGGACACCAGAAATGGGTTTCACACATTGTAGGCATATGGGGAATCAGACCCTGCTCTTTGTTGTGATGAGCGAAAGCTTGAACCACTATGCTACCCCACCACCCCTGACTATTATTAGCAGAGCTTACAGGACCCATTAGAATTGTACTGGACTCAGGCCTGGAAATAGTGGCGAAGGTCACAGACTGTTAACCTGTAAACCTCTAAAATCAGAACGTGTGACACATTTTAGCCTTATCTGTTCTTGTAGTGGTGTTGTAAGCCAAAAACACACTGGTAAAAGGCGTTTAGAACACGTCTGATGTCTCTCATAACAATTCATGGACATTTTTCAAGTGGTGGGGTAGCCTAGTGGTTAAAGCGTTTGCTTGTCATGCCGAGGGCTTGGGTTCGATTACCCACATGGGTACAATGTGTGAAGCCCATTTCTGGCATAAAACCAAACTCACTCACTCTGATGCTTGCATTGTGGTGAAATTCAAAAGCAAAGGCATGGTGCTGACGACCCCTGGAACAAAATCTGGCCTTCATACCCATGATCAGTAGATCCTGACATGGACGACATGATAAAATGGTTTTCTTAATCAGTCACTTCTGAATACCAAAATTGGTCCAATGAGAATATATATGTGGATTTTATGGCACGGATGATGGATGTTATAAGGTAGAAATATATCCTAAACATCTGTATGTTTCTATTTCAACACTACATCAGCAACTACAGCAATCATTGTTAAGTTGAACCCCTTTCCACAAAGCGATCTTAGCACTAAGGTGATCGTACCTCTCATACTTTAACAAAGATAGTCGTAGCAATAAGGTGATCGTACCTCTCATACTTTAACAAAGATAGTCGTAGCACTAAGGTGATCGTACCTCGTATACTTTAACAAAGATAGTCGTAGCACTAAGGTGATCGTACCTCGCATACTTTAACATAGATAGTCGTAGCACCAAGGTGATCATACCTCGCATACTTTAACAAAGATAGTCTTAGCACTAAGGTGATCGTACCTCTCATACTTTAACAAAGATAGTCGTAGCACTAAGGTGATCGTACCTCGCATACTTTAACAAAGATAGTCGTAGCACTAAGGTGATCGTACCTCGTATACTTTAACAAAGATAGTCGTAGCACTAAGGTGATCATACCTCGCATACTTTAAGAAAGATAGTCGTAGCACTAAGGTGATCGTACCTCGTATACTTTAACAAAGATAGTCTTAGCACTAAGGTGATCATACCTCGCATACTTTAACAAAGATAGTCTTAGCACTAAGGTGATCGTACCTCGCATACTTTAACAAAGATAGTCTTAGCACTAAGGTGATCGTACCTCGCATACTTTAACAAAGATAGTCGTAGCACTAAGGTGATCGTACCTCGTATACTTTAACAAAGATAGTCGTAGCACCAAGGGGATCATACCTCGTATACTTTAACAAAGATAGTCGTAGCACTAAGGTGATCGTACCTCGTATACTTTAACAAAGATAGTCGTAGCACTAAGGTGATCGTACCTCGCATACTTTAACAAAGATAGTCGTAGCACCAAGGTCGCATTGTGGAACATGGCCCTGGATCATCATACTCCAGTACAATCCTCATCCTATTTCTTGATTGTTACAGATTGTTACAAGAGAATGGCTTTAATATGTATATATGAAGACGTTTCTTACCAAGCACATCGAGATCATAATCACCCAACCAGAGTGTTCCACACGAGCAGAGTTTTACTGTTTATTATGTACCTCAGTGTGAAAGACTAAGTTTTCTGAAGTTGAGAAAAGTGATATTTTTATTGCAGTGAACATAACACTTGATATTTCACTGCAGTGAACATAACTCTTTGACGGAACTATTGTCATACAAGAGTTACCTCCCCTCAAATTGTCTCCCTTTATCGTAAGTATCTGGCCCGTACACAAACTAACATAAGTCCCATATTGACAAGGCAAAATAATGACACATGGTCATTTTTGGAGTTAATATCGCTTCTTGACGTTTGTTATTCTCTCAAAAATGTTTTGTTATAAACTGTAAAATTCTCATTATCTCAATCAAGTCTGTTCGTTTCGCAAAGCACCATTTTTGTTACTTGACCAGCATGTATACCTTTGCTTCCAACAGTGGTCTCATGGCTTTCAAGAATATGCTTTGGAAGTTGATTTTGTTTATAATCATATCCAAATGTATGATAAAGAATTTTCGTTACCTATATATATTTTTAGACTTTTGTTTATATTTTTAAAGATTTGACAAACTCTGAACTATTGAATATCCTCTAATTATTAGTAGCAAGTAAACATTGTCATATATGAATCACCTAGTGATTGATGCAGATAGACATATTTGTGCAGTATTTACCAGACATGTTAGATTGATGTCTTTGTGGATACTACTTAAAAGAATTGGCAGAACACCCGATTCTTTCATATTACTATAGT